AAAATTTCAGAGACAAAAATTTTGCAAAGTTTTAAAAAAAAGATATGAATTAGCTTTACAGAAAATTGGCAATAGCACATCATGTTTATTTTTTTTTATTTAACAAGGTAATTTGATAAACTTTCAAACGAATCTAAATTTATTTAATTATGTTATGTAATTGTTGAGATATGCAACCGCCATTTTTTTCTTAACACACTGTATGTGCAGAAGGTTTACGACCACCACCAATACTACCTGAAATGCCTGATGATTATGCACAAATGATAAAGAAATGTTGGGATGTGGATACATCAAAAAGACCAACTAGTAGTGAGCTTTGGCAATTTGCATATAATAAATTTAATAGTGTTAATATTGATGATGGTAGTAATAATAATAACAATAATAGTAATTTACAACAAATTCACAAACCACATCTATTAGCATATCATACAAGTAGGATATTAATAAATTTAAGTAATGAAAGCTTATCAAATTAAGAAATATAATTTTAATGGGGCAAATTAATTAATAATAATGACAAGTAGTTAAAAGAGAGAAAAAGTTGAGAATTGCTGATTTATAATTTTATTTCCTTTTATTTCTAAATATAAAATAAACAATTATACAAAATAAATTCGTAGATGTGAAATTTATAACGTGTCAAAGTAATTCGGAAGTTAGCTATTTTCGTTGCATGCAATAAATCATTTTGCAGCTACCAAGAAGCGATTGCAGGACATAAAAACCATATCAATAGAAAGCCCTGACTCTATTTAACCAAGCAATTCGAAAGTTATAAGAGAGGTATTTCAAGCATTTGTGAAAAAAGTAATGCTAGCATAAAGATAGTCAATGGCGAAATTGAAATCTATAATGTTGGTGTTTGGATACGAAATTCTGATTGGCTAATTTGAATTTCACGTATGTGAATTGCAAATTCATATAAATTTCATTTTCACGCACAACAGCGAACAAAATTTTAACGTTCAATCATTAGACAACGCAAGCTTTTCATTTAACGCACCTAATTTAAAATAAAAAAAAGTCAACTGAAAATGTATCTGCGGTTTGTTGTGAGAGATCAGTCATTTTATTTTCATTGAAGCCAATCTACGAGCTTTATGTCTCATATACAACATAATATTAACCCTACATCGCCTCCACGTTTTATTACTCTCTTTACATAAAATTGGGTTTTTAAAGAAAGATTTGCATTGTCTAATTCCTTGATGTGGTGAAGCATATTATTAATAAATGGTTTTGTTGGGTTGTTGGTTCTAATATTTCTTTATTCAATCTAATGTGCACCTTCCAGGCAAATAAATACTAAAAAATAAAAAGTCTATCTTAAAATTATAAATTAAGATACTTTTTGTATGCGAGCTGAATTCAGGGTTGGGTTCATTTGGTTGAGATTTCGGTTGAATCGAATTTTATCGAGAAAAAAATGATTTTGGATCTTAACGTGTGATGTGCTTTTACACGATTTGCACACTCTAAACTTTAAAAAATAAAAAGAAAGAATCGTTTTTAATAATTCGTCGTTCAGCATTTGCAAACTTCAATTGAAATAACAAAAAATAATAGCGACTTCGCGGGTTGTCCAAATTTAGAAATGATTTTCGTGTTATTTTCGTGGAGAGTATATACCTAATACCAATACTAATACTAATAGAACTACAACAAGTAATTTTCCCTCTTACACCAAATCTAGTGACTTTCTATCAACTAACAAAGTTAAAGTCTTGTCATTTAGTACAAGCAGTTTAAAGGCCCAAATTGTTGGTATTTTTTCTTTTGAAAATCGTTTTTTTAAAAAAATGATCACTGCAATCTTTTTGAAGAATAAAGCTAACTTTAGAGTTATAATAGACAGAATATCAATCACAATAGCTTTTAAATTTTTCGGTAGAATTCCAATCTCTCCAATCCCTATTGAAATTTTTTCTTGAAAATCATATTACGTGTAACGTTCTGAAAGTATATAATAAATTTGTACCACGACAAATGTTGGCGCATGCATATGTTTGTTTATATTCTACATATATATAGTGGCTTGGTTTTAATGTTTTCTGGATTAAATAAATGTAGATTGCATCACCCAAGTAATAATAATTAATATCAATACTAAGGCCATGCAAAAAGAAAGAAAATTTTAAGCAATCAAACTTGAAAAAGTCCAAGTCTCTAGAACAATATTAAATCTAGCATATTGAGCTTAGGTGTCAGATTTAATAAGATCCCCCTTCTACGAACTTGTAAGCTCTTTTCTTTGCAGAATTTATCCACATTACTCACAAGTTAGAGGCTTCAGACAAATGAGAGACTTTAGCAGTCTCTTGAGAACAATGCAGTTTAATAAAATTCAGAGCCACTAAACCCTCTGAATTTGTTCGCATTGTCGTATCCTTAGGTCATCATGTCAGATTAGCCTTTGTATCCAAGGAATATCGGAATTTTGAATATTTGTATCCTGAAATGATTTTTAATTCAATGTTGCATATTGATCGTTTTTTTTTTTTTGATATTTCCAAATTACCTAAAAGCAGTTTTTCTTGCTCAATATTTGCTTCGCCCTATCAATGACTCTCATCTTTAATATATAGCTGTTGCTTTTATCTTTGATGTTTTTGACGTTTCTTAAATTTAATATTATACAAATTATAATAAATTTTCCGTTATTTAAATTGCTTATTATTAAGCAAAAATATGAATTCGTGGTTCTTCCTTGTCTTGGGTTCTTCAACCAAAATTAAAACAGTGAAGAAAGAATGGATAACCTTAAATTATAAAGTTACGTGTTACCAATTACCAATTCGTTTGTATAATTAAAAAACCTGTTTTATTTACTCTCTGATAACATAATAAGAAGTTAAAACCAGTTTATTCCTTTAATATATATAAGTTTCAAACTTTGATCACAGCTTGAAGATTGGTAATTATTTAATTTTAATAAATACTTACGAATGTAAAATCAATTTAACAAGTCAATGTGGTGACATCAAATAAATAATAGTTTAATTTCATTCTCAGAAGCTGAAAAAATCAATAGTATTTGGAATGCATGGTTTTCCAATTCTATCAGAGTCAGACTTGCCGGAGTATATATATACATGACTGCTTTTTTATTCTTTAAATTCGAAAACAAACAAATAGTTTTGAATGAGAAAAATATTCAGATAAGATAGATAGATACCATACCAAAACATGATGCACATTAAAGCTAAATCTATCAGAGTCACCCAAACACAATTGAATGGCGAGGATAAATATGTGAATACTGCCGGTGAGATTTGTATATAATGTTGGAGGATAAATATGTCAACGTCTCTAATGCTTAACAAGCATGATGGGATAATTCGTAATAGCATTTATTGACACAAGCGCCAAGTGTTGTATCATGAACGCGAGCCTAGCAGATAAGCTTGAGATTAACTATTCTAGTAATTCATCCGAAGAACTAGGAGATGTTCGTTCCTGTATTTATATATATATAATTTACAATTAATCTATTTACTCTGATACATATATATTAATATATCACATAATGCTAGGTTATTCCATCCTTAGTAAAGTTGATGGAGAGAATGTGGAATGTTATCTTTCTTGGAGTAAAAGTTCGTGGTGCTGTGATGAACTTTTCAAAAACTCGAAGGAAAGATCATTAAACCAATAAGCACAAAAGATAAAGGATCTATGTACTTCAAAGAGATTGATGAGAAACCTCTTTTCTGGGGTAAGCTACCAGTTACTGTTGGAGAAAATGTTACGGCACCTGTTTAGATAATGGTTATAGATCATGAAAGCCTTTCCTCCTCCAAACCACATGCGTAAGAAAAAATATGGAATACTAGAATCATGTTTGGTACTTCTTGGTTGAAGATGCACATGCTGAAATTACACGAATCTGAATGGATATATACAACTCTTTGAATTTCTCAAAATGGAAAAATGTATGAGCCTCCCATAACAGCGGAAGATACCAAAGAAGATACTGATTTCAATCCGAGTGATTCCGATTAATCCAATTCTGATTTACCTGATTCTGAAAAAGAGCATGGTACATGATTCTACGATATGCGATCCCAGTTGGAAGATCAAGCAGAAGTTAAGAAAAAATAGTTTGATTCCAATAATTCCAAAGTAATAAATTGTAATCCTCACAGTTAAATTATGTATGGTATAATATCAGATTCCAGACTTAGAGTTCAAATCTTCTGTGAATTATCATCACCAGAGAACAAACAAGATGGAAGCTCGCGACCTTCTTATTGAAGAATTTGCAAAAAAAAATAAATGAAATAGAATATCCATCGTCTGGATAGGTCCCAAACGCCAACAATACGTCATGTACAATGAACCACCTACATTACTGATCGCTCTGAAATATGATTCATAGTTATAATAATATCTTCATTTGTCTGGAAAAAAATGATTTGTTTTATTGAATATATATAGTATAATTATGAAAATAAAATATATAACAAGTTTTGGCTTGAAACAAGAGATCAAACCTAAAACCATTCATTGGTAAAGGCCTACTCAATTTGATTACCCAATTTATTTTATTTGCCACCCACCAATTATTCCATTCTCCCATCTCTAATTGGCGATAATAAAAAAAATAATAATAAAATCGAAATCATATTTATATTATTTCTTACCTTGTATTATTCTTATTGTTGCTACTAGTATTAGTTATATTGGTGTCTTTAAAATTAAATATCATTCTTCGACAAGTAAATTTATATCCTGATCTAAATAAACAAAACTTGGAATCAAAAGAAAGGAAAGGTTTGAAAAATATTGATTATGAAGGGTTAGCAAATTAAATATTGGATCATAAAAATAGGAAACAAAAGGAAATTCTCTTTTATTAAAAAAGTTATTTGACACTATAATTGTTCGCCATAATTGTCCTTCTTAATAAATGATCATTGCCGTATCATAATTAACTTTAATAGTTGCCAAAATTATCTCCGTAATCACTTGAACTCTTTAAGTCAAATGGTATATTAATATATAGTTATTTTATATCATAATAAAGAATATTGAGAATCCGTAATTGTTGCCACGATCACTTTTCCTCCAAAACAATTATGGCAAACAACTATACTTGACACCGCTACAAAAAATGTAATAAAGAAATTATACCCAAACCAAAGAAATCCAAAACCAATCTTACAAAAATGATAAAAAAACGGTGAAAATAATTAAACTATATAACAATATAACAATACAAAAACTTGGCGAATTTCAAAGAAAGAATGTCCATGGAAAATTTTACTTTGAACTGAAAGAAAATCAGCAAAAGAAGTTTTCGACTAAAGAAATAAGTGCACAATGAATTTAGTAAACGAAAAAATCAAGACAATGACAACAAAATAATAAATAATAATAATACCAAGAATACTTCAAAATTTAAGAGAAGAGATCCATTCGGCAAATTTTTTAAAAACACAAATTTAATTCGTGAAACGTATATTAATATAGGGATTCATATATAAAAATTCGGGACGCATTTATTTACTAATAATACTAATACTAATTAATATTAATATTAAAATAAATTATCGTTAAATTGTCATACAACATACAAATTTTATATCGCACCAAATTTTTATTTTGCAAAACAATGAAAATCTTCGTTTATATTAAAAAAAATGCAGGAAGCAGTCGAGAACTCGAAGAGCTGGTTTCTCATGATATTTTATATATAAAATTGTCTGGTATTACTATTACTATTATTATTTTTTTAAGTTTTATTTTCATAAATAAAAAAACTTTTAAAATATCCTTTTGGCATTTTCTTTTTTTTTAAAAAACACTATGACATAACTATGAAACCGGGCGTTTATCAAGATTATTATTTTATTGAAACTTGGTTATGAGTAAATAACACCACATATACTAATAAACGGTTTTGAAAAGTAAAAAGTGTCATAACTCTGCGTTAGTGTATAAAAAATTCCCTGATTTGATAATAAATAAATGATCTGCTAATTAATTTCCGGTGTTGGAATATGACAAGGTCATATAACCTTTATATTTATAGGTCATTTCGTCATATGACCTTATGTAGACAATTACCATATTGATGTGTTTTTTGTGTAATCTATGCAAGTTTACCTATTCAAAACAATGGAATACTTTTGCCACACCTATTTCGGTTACATTAAATCCTCCTTACCCCCCTTTTTGGGTGTAAGATAATCATATTTCTACCCAATCAATATAAAGAACGGATCAATTTAGTGTAACAGAGGTGGTATATGTAATGTCTACTTTAAATTATTTAGGGGCATGACAGATATGACGTAATTTTTGTTTGAATAAAAAACTGATATGAACCAATGATTATGTCCGTTTGACTTCACTTTTCGCTCAACCGGAGACTAAATAAGATAATGATATTATTTATATATAACAAATAAGCTTGTTTACACTTCTCCTAACTGATGCCCTGCGTTAAGGTCGGCTGGCTTAATCTGTGAGGACTAGGGGTCGTCAAACCACATTGTTTATAAACAAAATATTATCATAATGAATTTGTTTACACTTCTCCTTAACCGGAGCTCCTTTGGTGACTAGAATTTGTTAGATAATATTATTACCGGTTTAAAATTTTTACTCGACTGATGATGACCTGCATTCTAAAGCATTCCTTTAGTGTTAAACAAAAATTCATTTTTTAAACAAACGAACAAGGAAATAATATTAATCATTTTGTCTTTATATTTGTTATTTTTAATTTGATTAGAGAATTGTCATGTCAAACGAAACTCAATAAAAATTTATCATAAAATAAAAAAACTTTGGCAAAACACGACCTCGTTCGTTTGGGAAAATGGACTTATCAAAAGATATAACTTTGTTCGATTAATCAATCCTCTGAATTAATCAATAATATTAAGACACTTTCCCGTTTTAGAATTGTTATGTTTGGTGGTTATTTATTTGATGACTTTTCCATTTTATCGCATGTACATGGCCATGATAAAAAGTATTGAAGTTCTGTTTTTTGATGAAGGAATAGTAATAATGGTTGACAAATACGATAAGTTTGTAAGCATTTATATAGTATAAATTATTACATGAATCGAAATTATGAAAATATAGTCAAGTTGGGATAAACAACTCGCAAAAAAACTGAATCAAATGAAAGAATAACAACTTACAAGTCACCCAAGAAAAATATTAACAAAAACGTTGGACTCATAATATTACATTCTTTGACTTTTTCTATTCATCTTTTTAAAATCTAATATCAACATTATCAATATAATTTACGTTAAATTAACTAGGCTCATCAGTTTGCGTAAATAATGAGTTTTAATTAATTAGTGTATAAGGAAGGACATTTGGTTAGAAGAATTTTATTAAATATGAAAGAAATAAATGTCATTCAAAGTAGACATATTTTAATTTAAGAAAGATAGAAAAGAAAGAAAATTATAAATGACACTATCAATTAATATACATTTCAATAACATTAAAAGCATTTAATATTTTTTAATATAACAAACCTACATATCGTTCCTTTTATTAAATAACTAAAAGTAAGAACAAACAGCTACTAATAATTGCAAAGAATAAAGATTAATTATGATTATTTGAAGGTGACGATGGTTTTTGTTTTTGTTGTTGATATTGTTGATGTTGTAATTGTAGTTGTTTGTCAACTCTTAATCCATATTTCATCACCCATCTTCTTACAAATAGACTTGCTTTCATAAATCTTTTGGTAAGATATTTATTAAAGATATTATCAACATAATTGTTATTTCTTATCAGGTATTGTAAAATCATTTTTGCACAAGGTATAATTTGCTCTTCTGTAAATGTGGAATAATGAATCAGGTTTGCATGCTAAATAAATAATAATGGATAGTAAATATTAATGATTGATATTACGTTTTCATTAAATTAATTATTAAAATACAACTAATTTTAAGATTAATTAATTCCGAATTTTAATTACAACTCAAAACACTAACCCATTCACCACGATTAAGCATTATACGAGCAAGGTATAATGAAGCTGCAGCAATCATGGAGGGAGTACAAATTAAAAAAGCATGATCAACAAGAGTGGCCTCCATTAAATATTTGGCAATGGTGCGAGCTTCAACATTATATTGATCAGCTTTTGAGTTACGTCTAAGGAAATTCATTGGATTGGGATAATTCAACTTATAATCAATAGTTTGTAATAAATACCGTTCTGCGGTGAGAATTTCATCTTCTGTGCAGCCATCTTCAGACATAAAGATGTAATTTTTGATGGATGGGGAAATAACTTCTTCATATTTGGCAGCAATAAAAAGTGCAGTAATGCCTACAAGTTGTAATTTGACCATGGAGGTTACACGATCCGATAAAAACCTATCAACCAAGTTGATTGTTAAGAATAATGTTTCAGGTAATAAACAAAATTTGTGATGAACTTCAACAAGCCAGTCAACAAGAATTGTTCTCATCTTCCAATTTAATTCTGGTTGACTTTCCATATAATTGTGTTTTGGCATTGTTTCTTTCTATTAATCACATGACGTGAAGAGAAATTATTATAATTAATAATGATATTATTTATTATTTATCCCCCCCCCCAAAAATAAATAAATCATACTTCTAAAATTTTCAAATAATCAAAAATTTCCGCCGCATACTCTGCCACCATCATGGGATCATTCATTTCCGCGAGGTCAAGATCATCCCATTCTTGAGATTTTATTTTCTTTGCATAGGCCTTTTCTAATTCGGCTTCATAAAGTTCAGACTCTATAGTTGTAGATAATATCGGAAATATTGGATCAATAACAACATTAGATTTAGTTACGTTAGTGGTCGTGGATGTAGTTTTTGTTGTAGGTAATATTCGGTTTGCAATTTTTTTAGCTCTTGATTCAATTTTTTGTTTTTTTTCGATTACATTATCACTAACATTAACACAGTTATTACTGGTTTGTTGATTTTTTAATTGTTGTTGTTGTGCAACAGTCGCAGCAGTCCTTTTTTTCAAATTTGTTGTTGTTGTGGACACCGTTGATGTACTTGCAGGAATTGGCCGTTTTGTAGGTAAAATGACATTATCACTTCCTAGATTTAGTAATTCTTTTTTATTATTGTTATTATAAATTGGTCTTAATGCTGCTACATTATTACCATTATTATTATTAATTGATGAATTGATATTATGACTAATTTTGGTGGTGTTTGTAACTATATTTGGTACATTATTAATATTACTAACATCGTCTAAAGCTACCCTTTTACGTGCACCAATATTACCACCAGTAGTGGTAGTTGTAGAATTTGTAGAAATCAACTTTCTTAAAAAGTAATTATTAACATGTGGTGCTAACATTGATGTATTATTGTTTTTTGTAGTTCTCGCAATAGACGATATAATCATGTTTGGATTGACTTTTAGGTTTATTGGGTTGACAACGGCAGCGGTAAAACCAGTTTCTTTATTATAAACCAAATTTTGTGATGTTACTGAATTTTCATCACACTGTGAAGCCAAGTTATTACGCGATTGAACCTATTTATGAATTAATTGTTGTCATCAGCAATTATCAAAAAAAAAAAAAAAGGCTATTATATTCTTGCGTAATGATACCTGTTTCTTTTTTTGCTGATTCTCTAAATTATTTGTAAACATTTTATCTTTTTTTTAATATGAAGACGTATGTCTAAAATTTTAATATAGTAATAGTATATGATGTAGTGTGTTCTTTGGACATTATAAGTTCAGAATCATTGAGTTAATGATTCTTAAAAAGTAATAATAATAATAATAATAATAATAATAATAGAATAATAAACTGATTGATTGATACCTTTAAAGATGCTCTTGGTAATAAAAGAAATTTTTTTTTGTGTATGTTTTTTTTATTTCAAAAAACGGGTGACGTCAAATGCGTTTATATTGTATTACAGAAAAATGTAGTACAAGTAGGTAGTTTGTTTTTTTTAAAAATGACGTTTTCTTTTTTGAAAATTGGTTTAATAACAAAAATGGTTATTGTATTTTCGAAGAAAACAAGCCAAGTTTAGAGGGTTATAATAAACGGAATATTCATGGCTATTAAAGATTTTTGTGGAAATCCCTCAATCCTATTGAAATTTTATGTTACGTGTATCTTTTTGATGATAAATTATATTCATTATATATTCATTATATTTAAGAAAGCAAAGTTGCAAAACTTAAATAATTTGATATGTTGTTCACTTAATCGATATTCATTTTTATTTATATCTGAAGATTTATATAGTCAATCTGCATTTTATTTATATTTAATGTAGTTATTTTATATTAATTATATTGTGAGATGTACTTGAACGGAAAGTTGACGGCTAACTATTATTACAAATGGCAATTGAATGGTAAATAACAGTTGATGTTTGACGCTAATGTTAATTTGTGATGATGGTGCAACAAAAACATAAATCATGTCCCTGATAGTTACAAAGTCCTGAATATTATCTTCTATTAATTTTCATTCTTCACAAGTATAATTCTAATTCTACGCATTGACCTCATAATAAAAATCATTAGTTGTATATAATATTCATTTATGTATTATTCTATTATTAATAAACACAATTTAATTGTAAATACAATCAATCTTATAAAACTGTCCTCGAGAATCCAGGGTCCTGCCTGATATGTCATCTACCCACCCACCACCCATAATTGTACCACGGTAACATCATGAATTTTCAAAAAATTTTTAATAAAATGTCGCCAGATTTTGAAGGTGTAAAAATAAAAATAGAAGCTGAAGATATAAAAATAAAAATAGAAGCTGAAGATGTAAAAATAAAAACAGAAGCAATTGAAGATAAAGAAATAAAATTAAAAGGAAATAACGAAACAATGTTTGATTCAGAAGATCAATCTGATTCTGATAAAACAATATCTTCTAATAATTCAGAGAAGGCTGGAGAATCAGATGAAGAAGAAGAAGAAGATGATGATGAAGAAGAAGAAGGTGAATATGATGAAAATTTAAAGGAAGGAGATGAAGAAGATAAGTTGGAGGAATCTAGTATTGATGAAATTTCAGATGATGAAAGATTGACTGAAGAGATATTACAACAAATTGGTAATTATTTAATCATTTATAAAATGCAGTTTTGGAATATTTATGAATATTTTTTCAATAATAATAATAATAATTGCTGTAATAAAGAAAAATCCGAAAAAATTCAAGAATTTCTTCGAGATGATTTTTTAAGAGATGTGATTAATCACATTAATGATGTAGGGAAAGGATCAAACCCATACGATGCAGAAAAAATATTAGACACAGTAAGACGAAATAATCAAATATTCAACGATTTTTCAGAAGAATTATTAAATATTGCTCTAGGTCCTTCAGAATCAGATGATGATTATTAGATCACGAACATTTGACAAGGTTCCAGAAAAAAAATCTAAAAATAGAAGTTGAAAAAATTTTTTTAATCTATTTTTATAAATAAAGTTTGTCAGATATGTGTGTATGTATGTATGTGTTCTTTGATTATCACTACTTATTTTATGACGGCAATTATATTTTTTTTTATCTTCTCCTTTTACTAAATTTTACTATCCGTTGATTACTTGAACAAAAAAAATGTCCAAAGAACAAGAAGAACGTCATAATAGGTAAATATAAAAGTGATATATACATATATATACATACATACATATTTTTCATATTTCTCGAGTTCAATTCTGGCATTTACGAATTTTTTATTTTAGAATTATTCGTGAGCTTTTAAAACAACCAGCAAATAAAAAATGTTTTGATTGTCCTACCAAGGTATAACTAAAGAAAGATAAATAAATTTATTGAATTGATAGGAAAGAAAACAATAAATAAAGAAAATTTCAATTAATTAATTTTTATTGTAATATAATAATAAGGGACCTGTTTATGTAAATCTTTTTAATGATACTTTTGTTTGTGCAAAATGTTCAGGTATACAGTAAGTAGAATGATTGTGATCAATGGCATTTTTTTTAATGTTATTATTAAATTTTATTCGAATATGAATTCCACATGAATTAATCCATCCATTCCCGTTCAACCATTATCTAAAAATATGTTTCTGTAGTCGTGAATTTAATCATCGTGTCAAATCAATACTTGCATCAACATTTACTCCAGCTGAAATAGAATCTTTAAAAAACGGCGGTAATGCTGTAAGAATATATAATTTTTTTATCTTGGACAATCAATTCATTAATCGATTAATGAAGTTTATTATTTATTAATTTAGAAAGCAGTAGAAATTTGGTTGGCAAAATATAAATGGGTAGACTTTCCAGAACCTGATCCTAGTGATATAGAATCAATACGTACTTTGATGTCAATGAAATATAAACAAAAGAAATGGTTGGATGAGTCACTTTTGAAAGCAAATAATAAGAGACCACCAAATGGTGAAGATTATGTGGTAAAAAAGTATAATAATCATTGTCATGTAATTTCTTGTATATATAATAATAATAACAATTTGATTAATTAATAGGCCAAAGGAACTTTTGTTATTAATTCTCCAGCATTAAGTAATAAATTGAATAATAGTAGCAGTAATTTAAGTGATGATTTTTCAAGTCAACACTCTAGTTTAAACGGCCATTCGCCTGTTTCACCTACAAGCAGAAAATCAGACAATAATACAAGTTATTTAAAATATTCCCCTGATACATATAATGTTGTAGAGTCACCATCAACAACAACTAATAATATTCCAATGCTACCAAAACCAAATTCTAATAATTTAATTTCTTTATCATCTGGACCTAATAACAATACTTGTAATAATAATGTTAAAAATGAACTTGATGATTTTTTTGACACTTTGAATAATTCTTCAAATCAACAATCTATTACAAAAAGAAACAATACATATCTAGAATCTAATAAAATATCCACCACCACTAATGCCTCTTTCACCCGACAAAATCCTTTGGATAATTGTTCTGCAACATATTCTGATCAAAATATTTTACATGTTAACTCAAATTCAAATATTTTTTCAACAGAGCCTTCTCTCTTGGATAATAATGATTTTAATCTTTCTGCTGTTAATTATAATGTAATTATTTATTATTTATCATCATCATCTTATTTTTTATTTATTTATTTAACACTCTTTATATATATAAATTCAAGTGCATTGATAATAAACAGAATCCTTTTGGGCATGTCAGACATAGTTCTTTGACTTCAATTGCAAGCAGTAGTAAGTTCACAAATGATAATATTTATAAGAATAGATAATATAATAATAATAATAATAATAATAACAATAATAATTACTATCATTATTATTATCACTCTAAAGGTATTCTTAAACCTAAACCAGCTTCTCCATCTTCAATATTAACAGCATCACCTATTTTTGACAACAACAACAACAGCAAGATAACAAACGATCCTTTCATTGATCTTCTATCATCAACCAAATCTGAAACATCAAAAAGATTTCCACCTCAAAAATCAGATAACGATGATGATATTTTCAGCGATTTCCAAACTGCACCTGACGTTAATTCACAAAAAAAAATGTGTTCAACAAATTTGAATTCTTACAAAAACCACACATTTTCAAATGGTTCTACAAATACAAATATGAATTCATCGCAACAAAAACAATTTGGTCATTCAAAGAGCATCTCTTTTGATGGCGTGTTTAGTGATTTAGATCCGTTAAAAACAACATCATCTATTTTTGATAACAACAATAAGATAACGGACGATCCTTTCATTAATCTTCTACCATTAATTAAATCTGAAACGTCAAAAAGATTTCCGTCTCAAAAATTAAATGATGATGATATTTTCAGTGATTTCCAAGCTGCATCTGATGTTAATTCACGAAAAACAATGCGCCCAACAAATTTAAATTCTTACAAAAACCACACATTTTCAAATGGTTTTACAAGTACAAGTATGAACTCATTACAACAAAAACAATTTGCTCATTCAAAGAGCATCTCTTTTGATAGTACATTTAGTGATTTAGATCCATTACATAATAAATAAATATTTAGAATTTATTTATCAGACATTTTTTTAAAGTAATTTTGTTTGAAACAATATTTTGAATACGATAAGATGTATTATTTATAGACTGTACAACATTTGAATAAACATAGAATCATAAATACTGTCAAGACGAACGTCGTTATTTCTCGAATATACCTGTAACATAATATTTTTTGCTCCATTGCATCCATGGATTTTTTGAATTTGCCAATCCTGACAATGCTACATACGCTGGCCTATTTTTCATAAAAAAAATATATGAAATATGTTAATAATGAAAAATATAAACCTCTTTCAAAAACCATTTTTAAGATCAATTTGATCCTTTCCAAAGTTTGGTCTTATGAATCATTCATTAATTAAATAACTAATAAACATTCAAATAAAATATGAATTATAAATAGACACCTGTCTACTATCTACAGCTTGTCACTACAATTTACGATTCCGCTACGTCAATTATTTTTACTAATGATTCTTCTAAGCTAAATTTCATGTGTTAAAAAGAAAAATTAGAATAATATCTTTTCAAATTTAGAGATTAACGAATTAATAATAATAATAATTATTATTTAAATCAATTTTGACAACATGTCATGACTCTCTATAACACCAAAGGAATTGCGCATACACAATTAACGAATCAAAATATAACGACAGTTTATTGAAAATAAATGTTAGTTAAAAAGTGATTCTTTACTTTTATTACAAAACTAACTGGGCGCGTCTCTTAGATTATATTTAAATGTGTTCAGCTACTGTTTCAGCCCACTTTTTCCGTATTTATAAACAAAATAAACCATAATAAGACATAATTGAACATAATAACGTTTCTATCACCAATCTAAATTAATAAATATTTGCAATGCTAGGGAAAGTGGTTTATTTATTGTGTCTGATATACTGATGCCTGATTTTGATCTTTGAAAGCATTCAATCATACAATATGACAATGGATTAGTCACAACAAATAACAAATGCTATTGGTAAACAACAAATTTTCAAATGTCAAGCACTCACAAAGGGGTCACTACTCTTTCAATCATTAATATCAATTTTTTTTTTCAACAAAGTATCCGCAATTCATATCTATGAATAGTTGTTTGTAAACTTGTTGAACAAATAAAAAAACCACTTACAATAAAGTAATCATCCAAAATTTCATTTCCAACATTTGTCAAGTCATTTCATTAGCAAGATTTCATGCAGCTAAATGAAAAATCAGATAAGAGCCAGGTAAAACAGGTTAAATAATAATAATCTATCTATTTGAAAAATATAATGATTTCCTCCATTGCTTCATCCAAGCTGGCCACATAGCTCTTTTGGTATCTGATTCGGCAGACAAAAGAATACTATCCTTGAATGATTAACGTTGATTTCTCATCAACTTTAATGTCTGGGTCTAATGTTCTTACAATTCCTCATCTTTTCTTTGAGAAATTCATCATGCTTTTTTTAGTAGACAACCCCCGCATATAAAAAAGGTTTGAAGTGACATTGATAAGAGAGTTACAAACAACATTAAAGATATGGGTGAGCAAGGTATCAAACAAGCAATGAAAAAAGTTCAAGCTATACAAGGCTCCTTACCATAATCGTGACCTTTATCACCATCGTTATAATCTTCTTTTTTTCAGCTACCTTTCCAAATTATCAAAACAGCAGATCCATAGGTTCTTGCATTAAATTGTACTTTTAATCATGATTTATTGTTGTAATCTTTCATTTTTTTTTCTGTTCTTTTTATTATTACTGTACCATGATTAAATAAATCACAGAAAGAAAGTCAAGGAGAAAACATAGGTTGGTGAGAGTTTGGATGGAATAAATAATGGATCAAAAAGAGCAAAAACATACAATTATCTTCATGTTCTATTATGCACTTGATAAAATTTTTAGGAAGAAATCTGTGCATGGATATTTGCTCAAGTGAATCTACGATAGAGCTGGCTGTTCAGAAGCTAGTATTTGATTTGCAGATTTGTTCAGTGTTAAAGATTTGGAAATTTATTATAAGCCAATATAGAGATTGTTTTGGAAAAGAATACATGCATTTATTTGAAATTTGATATTAAATAAAAACATAGTTTTAAAAAATCATTCATTTTTCTTTACTAATTCATAGACTTCTAATTCTTCTAATGCTATGAAAATATCCTTATTCGTAAAATTCAAATCATTTTTATAAGAAAAATCACCATAAATACTAAAATTGTAATAATAAGGGTCATTATTAATGCTATTACATAATCCAAAATTGCAAAAACATATAGTAATTTCATGAAACTGTAGTCTATTTTCAATCAAATCAATGTTTTGTTTACTATGCCATATTGCTTCTTCTGGATTTTTGACTCTACTTATTATTGAATTCATTATTTGATTTTCATCAAACTTAAAAATAAAACTTTTATTTGTTTTAATATAATATGCTTCATCTGGAGACTTTCCTTTAATATTCCAGCCAACAGGATTATAACCACCAAATAATTCTCCTGTTTCTTTAATTTTCATAATTGCTATAGTCTGTTCTATATCATAACATTTTTCCTCAAAGACAGATCTAGAAAACCCATCTTGAGTTCCAGTGAGAATTAATTTAAATTCATAAGGTAAAGTATTTGCATTATATGAGTCTTTTGTCTCATCAATCCAGCTAGAAATTAAACATATTTTTTTTAAATTTAATAAATTTCCTCTTACTCTTGGACCTTTTTGAAATAATAATTTTGGTTGCCAATTATTACTGATATAGTAATAAAGAAGTTCTTTATATATTTCTTTATCAAATGATTTTTTAAATAACATAATTTTATCAAGAAAATCAATTGAAGTGATATAATTAAATCTTATTAATGGAATAATATCTACCAATATATTTTTTAATATGATAAAATCATTTTTTTTCCACTCTGAAATATCTTTATTTAATTTTTTGTTTTGTCCTATACCCCATCGAATAACAAAACTCCAAATGTCAATTTCTTTTACTTTTAAATTATTTTTTTTTAATACAGACATAAGGATAGATTTGCTAATATTATTAAAATCATCAGATTTTAAAAATAATTGAGGATTGTCATAAATTAATTCATCAAAATGATCTTGAAGTAAATTGAACAATTGGTGATCTGATGAAAATTTATGAACATAAACTAAATTATGTTGAATCCAATCTTTTTTTTCAACTATTAAGTGATTTTGTAATCCTTCAATTAATTCATTAAAATTTAATTCATCACATGCTTCAAGAAGTTCAAGAATTTCTTTTGGATTCAAGTTATCTAGATTTATAATTCCATTGTAAATATATCTTTTAAAATTAAAAAATTAAAAAATTAAAACTTTTTTATGAAAAAATTATTAGCATAATAATTTATAATTAATTTAATTAATAAATAATTCTTACGTCAAAATAACTTCAAATACTTTTGGAGAAATATTTTTTTTTTCAAATAAAATAATATTACCATCATCAGATTTTTTAATCCAATTAGTTGATAAAGCTACTTTAAAATATGAAGACCTTGCTTTTAAAATAGTAGAATGAGCTTTAAAAGTCTTAACATTCAGACCTTCTCCAACTTTAATTTCTACATCATAATAGTCTGTTTCGATTAACAACTTTGTTAAATCATTTAAAAGTTTACTAGTATAGTTTAACGATAGAGCATCTTTATTGGAATTTATAGGTTTGTTAAATAATGAACTTATATTCTCTAACATTGAAAAACTAGTTGACATTTTGAAAGAATTTTATTTTCTTTAAAATTTATTAGCCAATGGTTTGACTCTACTTCACATACATATCAATATGAAACGTGATTAGTAATTTTGGTATGACGAATTTTAAAATGCAATTTCCTTTCCTCCTAACAAAAACCAGCTGGAAATATAATAATAATAATAATAAATTTTTTGTAAAATATTTCAAGCCTTCTTTATACCTCAAGAGTTAATAAAAGAGATTAATGAATTGAGAGTTCAATTGACACAATTACAACGACAAAATGGTCAATTAATTGCTCAAATTGAAGTTAAAAAATGATCTTGATTGAGAATAAGAAAGTAAATTAAAGAAGATTTTCATTCCAACTGCCAAAGAAAATGATTGTGCATAATTCACAGCTATGAATAATCAAAATGTTATTAATCAAATTAGTTGATATTCAGCCACATCAGCCTCTTGCTCACTTTGGTTTTGTTGCAGCATGCCCACATATATATATTATATATATTATGCAAAAAACTTAAATTTAGTCAGAGGATGTATCCCATATATTCGTTGAAACGAGGTTTTACTGTATACAATAATTTAAGTAATTATGTTAATTAATCATAACATATTAGGCGGCATACATATACACGTTAAAAGATAACTTTGATGAATCATCTTAAAAATAAATAACTATGAATTCAAATCAAGTTTTAATCGAAGCACAATTCGTATTCGATTCGAATGAAATGAATCAAAAATTAGGGTGATTCGATTCGGTTCGGTTCGAATTTCGTTGATTCATTCGGAGCCTTAGTTTCAATAGCTTAAAAGAAGCTGTTAAAATTTTTGATAGAATTTCTTATTAAAACTACTATTTCCATTACTAACGTGACAAAAATCCGCCCATATTAATAACATTAATACGATTCTCTCGAAAAATTAAACAGCCTGGATAGTTGGTCGATTGGTAGGTGAACCTTACAATCTATTAAATAAACATCTATTTATGATATTTGAGTGATTGATTTCATGATTAATACAATCAGAAAATAATTTTGCGAAAACAATAAATATATTATCTTTTAAATTCAAAGAAATTTTTTGAAAAATAATGATTTTTTATCTTTATTTCTATTGAAAATCTTTTTCAATTGGCTGTGGCTCACCATCACAACCAACTTCTTCGAATGTAAGAAGATATAATAAGCCATTCTGGGGATGAATTCATTCCAAAACTCGCAAACTAATAGCGAATTACTGTGATCAAGTCAATGGAATGAATGACTCTTTAAAAAGACTAACTCTTGGTTCATGAATTACAGTTGACTCAGCTAAACCAACATCTAGAAATTTAAATAATACTCCCCTTTTACCAGATGGAATATGGAATAATTTAAAGATGTAATTTCTTTTATAAATGAGAATTAACTTCTTCATCATCTTCTTCTTTCAAAGTCGAGGATGTTGCTAACCTTCATCTTCGACCTTCTCTTCTAAAAAACTCTGGCGGGAAAATTCTTTACCCTAATTCAGAGGAAAAACCAAATGGATTAGTACTACGCGCTGAACGTGCAACCAGTGAATGTCTAGTTGTAATATCAAATTATAAATCTGAAAAATTTAAAAACACTAATCTCAAGTGGGTTCTTAGCACACACCTTAATGGCATTAGTGATGCTGGCTTTAAAAAGGAAAAAATTTAAATTTAAATTCAGATCTAGGAAGGGTAAATCGTGGTTAGTCACCATTCTATCAATAGGATGGGGAAAGAAATCGTGGTCATTATTCATTTCCCAAAGATATTGAAGCAAATGAAGAATACCTGAAATGAATTATGACCTTCGAATCGTCTTGGTGAATTCTAGTTGTGTATCCCAAACCACTCGAAATTATGGCTCCTAAATTTTCGATGGTCGAAGAGAATAGAAGCGCTGGCATTATTTCTCTTGATCCAGGAGTGAGAACCTTCGCAGCTGGCTATAATCCAAGTGGTGAGGTTATAGAATGGAGAAAAGGGCGTATTAGTAGAATACACCACTTGTGCTTGCATTATGATAGAATCCGAGGTGAAAGGGATTCAATTCATGGCAAAGCAAATAAGCATAGGAGGTATAAACTCCGTCGGTGCATGCTCCGGATTCACAAGAAAATTCGTAATAGACTTGTGAGTTAATGTCATCGAAGATTAGCAAGATGGTTGGTTGTGCGAAAACAAAACCACCATGTAGAACAAAAGACATGATTAAAAAATCTGTTCTGGAAAAATCTATTCCAAGACTGCAAGACAAATGTTGACTGGTCACATTACCGTTTTCACCAACATCTGCTCCACAAATTCGCGAGCACCCTTAGCGAGAGGTCGTTATTTGCACTGAGGAATACACTAACAAAACATGTGAACGTTGTGGAGTCATCAAGTCAATCTTGTACATTTTGCAAATCCATCATTAATATACTTTTGAAGCATATTACAGAAAAACAACACGAGTCGTTTGCGACAAGCTGTCTACGTAGGACTTGTACTTAGTATCAGTATAGGTTCAATGTAAGAGATATATAAAATATGCAATATTTTCAAAAATATAATTTATTTATACTAGTACTAGTGATGTTAGCCGGCTAATAATCTGCCTGCATAATTTCTAAATTTGGTAATAGATTTCTGCGTTACTTTCTTGTTATAGAAATAAAATTACCAATTTAGGTAGTAAACGGCTTAGCCGGCAAAGGATTTTTAAACGGCCAACATCACTAATTTATACATTAAAAGATAATAACATAAATATATTAAACAAATAAAAAACAAAAATGTAATAAATAAAGCATTTATTTAATGACTGTTGGATTATTATCTAAAGCCATTAGACTACCAATGAATGTGAGAATCTATATAGAAAAATAAAATTATTACTATTATTATTATTTATTATTAAAAATCAAATATTGATAATATAAATTATGAATTACCAAACGAGGTCTAACTTCAACAATATCTTCTGGTAATAGGAAAATAGTAGCGCCAATTTTCCTTGCAATAGAAATTGAATACCTTGCATTTAATGTTGCATCATCCTCTGAAAAAAAATTTTTCATTAATTTTTTTAATAAAAGAATAGTAATAATAATTAATAAATGTAAATAGAACAGTTCAGTACCAGATGTGCCTCTTGTTACCAAACCATAATCTACTACTCCTGGTCTTATACCATTTAGTAAATCGATCAAAAAGATGCCACTTCTCAATGATGAATCTTTGAAGCTGTTCATCTTTGTTGTTTTCCCACCACGTCTTACTGTTCCATTTGCCCATTTAACTAAATCTGCATCTGTTATTTCACGTCCATCTTTTGATAAACTTATCAAAGTTTGGATTATATTTAAACGCATCATTTGCCAAACAAGACCAAGAATTAAAGTTTTTGTCCCATCAACAATATCTGCTCCTTGAATATTAACAAGTGTGAATTTCAATGATTTACCAATCAATATGGCATAATTGGTATTTTCCACTTGTTTAAATCTTGAAAGATTATTATTGTTGGCTTTGTTTGCTTTCTTCCAATCAACTATCCCTGGCCTAAGCTTTTCATAGGCTTGAAGAATAATTAATCCATCCTATGATATTAAACCAAATTATTTGTTTTAATTTAATATAATAATATAAATTAAAAAGAGATAATAATATTTTTTGTAAGTAATAGCAAACCTTGAGATCTTCATACAAATTATTTACAGCAGGTGTAACATCCAAGCTATTTAACCATAAACTAAACACTAAAGATTAAATTAATAAAAATCGAAAAAAAACCATTAGCAAAGAGAAGAAAAAACAAAATAAAGAAAAAGAAAAAAAATACCTCTTGCTTCTCTATCATCACTATCATCAAATTCCTCAAGATCGGCCTTTTCTTCTTCATCAAGTGGCGCAAGACCTGGATGAGTATTAAATAAATGTGCCACAAAAGCTAGATTTAATTTAGGGTTGCCAGCAACAAGAGCTCTTGGTGTAAGATATTTCCTACATCCTAGCTTTTCAGCATTTTGTAAAATCTATTTAATCATATTAAAAAAATATTTTTATTTAGTATATTATTTATGCAAGCGTCTAAAGTTTCAACTATTAAATGAATCTACCTTTTCTGCACGTTCTAAAAGATTTCGCTCTTTTAAAGGATCTCGTGAACAAATATCAGGAGCTAGTTGATTTAAAAGAACAGTATAATTTTCACCATCAGATACATCTTTACTAAAATTTTGGACTCTAATGAAATATGTTTAGGGAAAAATTATATTAATAACATGAATATGATGTATGTATACCTCTTTCACACATTCAAGATGTAATATTTATTCACAACTCACCGACGTTGCCATTTAGCAGCTTTTAAATGATAATTGAACCATCTCAATAAAATTTGATCAGGAGGTAATTTTAAAAATTGTTCCAAAGTTTCATCATCTTCCAGAAGACGATATAATTCAGGATGAAGCTTTATATCAATTTTATTCAATAAACCAATCTTAATGATTTGCCAAATAAGACCCAAAATTAAATGTTCTCTGCCTTCAATTAAATCAGCTGAACCAATATTTACAACATTACAACCGATTCCTTTTGCTGAAAAAATTACTAAATTATTATTTTCAATCATTTGAAACTTATTGATTTTCTTTCCTTTTTTAAAAACATTAAGTACACGTTCATCAATTGTATCAGGTACTGAATTATTTATAAGTTTGGCAAGAAGTAAACCATCTAATAATAATAATTATTGCATAGTTATAGTTATTGTTATAGTTGTAAGTATTACAATGTCAATAATAATAATCATCATATCATATCATATCATGGCTATTTTTATTACCTCTGCATTCATCAAATAATTGCATATTTGAGATGTTAATTGGCAATTTATCAGCAAGATCTGGATCTCCAGATAATGTTTGGTTCATATGTCTTGTGAATTCAGTTCTTTCATCCTCATTTATTGTATGTGAAACATTTTGACTTGATCCATGAACGGTGATTTTATGTTTGTTAACTGCAAATGCACTTTTATTACGCCCTGATCTTAGTTTTGAAATTAACTAAATATTTAAAGTTAAAGTTAATATCAATGTAAATGTTAAAAAATGATTAATGAAATTAATCATCTATAGTTTAATTAATTAAGTAAACAACACATTGTATATATATATATTTACTTCAACAAATTCTTCAAGCTCAACTTTTCCCGTAGAACTTAAGTCGATTTCTTTTAAAGTTGCTCTTATCTCGTCGTATGAATTGTCTTCACCTATGTCTTGTAAAGCTTTTAAAATTTCTTTTTGTTCAAGTGCACCGCTACCATCAATGTCTATTTGACTTTTTTCCAATTTTTTGAATTTTAATTGTGAAATTCATGCAAAAACAAAGAAATCCAAAAAAAAAAACAAAAATAGCGTAGCTTACTTGAATTGAGAGGTGATTTTAAGTATTTCGTGTTGAGGAATTTGAGGAAACTTTTTGGCTAATTGCATTAGATTCATTTTGTTTTTAAAGAAACTACATTATTAAAAGTAATAACATTCTTTTATACTTTATAATTGTAGGTTTTGCTGCGACAAAACGAGACGAGCACAGTAGAAATCAAAACGTCAATTGCTAAAAAGGGATTATTGTTTCCATTACTATTGAGATTATTATTTCTACCAAGTGATAAATATTTAATTTTACTTGGATAAAAAACTTGGATTATTATGTTATGCACATTATATGTTTATAAAATTGGCATTCTCGGCATTTCTTAATCAATGCCAAGGACTTGCCAATTTTCAAAAATGAATTTTTACGAAGGATCTGCATAAAATAATATATATATATATACTCGAAATTTTATTGGCCAACTGAAAGTCTTATCACGTGCTTTGATATTTTTCAACTTTTGAAATGAAAATTGTAGTTTCTCCCCAGAAGCATTGTGAAAAAAATTAGGTATTTTTCTTACTTTTACGCTATAAATTAAAGCAAACGAGTAATGCAAATTCATGACATAAATTCTCAGCCAACCAAAAAATTTTCTGGACAAATTTACATCATGTAATCTTCTTTAATATAAATAATTTTGAACAAAACCCTTTTAGGTTAAATATTGTTAGAGGTTATTCCAAAAAATCTACAGTTCCATCACTATTTAATATTACAATTATTATAATTAATAATAAATATATATATATAATACAGTCAGAACTCATTAAACCAAAGTCAATGTTTTCACTAAAAAAATCTTTGGTTTAAAAAAATCTTAATAAGTAGATAATAAAAAACATTGGTTTAACATGTATATCCGTTTTGTCAAAGCATCACCTTGACGAGTTCTGGCTGTAAATATAAAATGAATAATTGGATATTTTTCAGGTATTAAATAACATTAAAATTGATCGATTTATCATACAACTCACTTAAGATGACAAATTAAAGGAATCCGAAGCTGGGTCATGCAAAGAAGAAAAATTGGTAGACCTTCCTCTCCTTCTGGTTTAGTCTGCCTGCTTCAAGAAGACCACTACTTGATATTGTAATCAAATATTTACTTGTACATTAAAAACTGACTATGATAATCAATGATGTATGATGAAACTTTTGACTTTACTGACTAAAGGTAGTTTCTCATCAGGGCCATTTTGGCGACTTGGCTAAAATAAAGATCCTTGACGTAAGTAAAACTATTTGACGTGATTGAAAACACTTGACTTAAGTAAAATCACTTGGCAAGTAAAATCACTTAAATCGTGTGAAACTAATTATATTACAATTATAATTATGAAACAACTTATTAAAGCTTTTTTCTTTCAAAATCAATTGTTAACTTGATATTTTTAACTTTGAAGTTAACTGCACGTGATAGCGATATTAAATAATGTGCTTGAGCTGTCTTTAGTGTCTAAATCAGAACACGTATAGGTTGGCCAATATTGGTACGTAGAACGACTTTTACATAGTACATGAGATATGTTTAGGCGCAGGTGTTTGTGAGTTTTAATTTTGAAGTTTTAAAAGTGATAAAATAGTAAACAGAGAAAAAGAAGAATGCTAAAATTCTTTATTGTTGAAGCATTAGAATCATGACAAATCAATCACTAAAGTTTGTTGGGATGATAGTTCATTTATAATTACCCGGTGTCCTTCGATCATATATTAAAATCAGTCACTGTTAGTGGTTGTATCCGCCGAATGATATTCACCGATTATTTATCGATTATCCGGTGAATTCTTAATGACCCGGCCACAATATCCAGGTAAAGGATTTAAAATGCTGGCGGGAATTATGCTGGAGGAGTAACTGGGGCCTAAACTTAAATATGCTTTAAAATCAAATTGGCTGATAATCCAGATCCCGTGTTCTGAAACAATTGAAATAAATTGTTGATACTGCTATTATTTTATATTACAACAATTTAATTTGGTTTTATTTAGTATGTTTTTAAAGAGCTTTCTTTTGTAGATAATATTTAAATATGTATGTATATATATATATACAAGTTTAACTAAATATGAAATATAAATTCATATGAAAAAATTATTAATTAATTTTTTGTCCATTAATGGAAGTAAATTTACGTATGTAATACAATTTCTTGTGAATTTTATAAAATTTTTTTGACAAAATAAATTAGGCTTCAAAACAGATTCCTTAACTTTACAATTTTTACTTATACTGGCTTTAAATTAAAAATGACTGATTTTATAGAGTCTTCAAAAGAACAAACCGATTGTGACACTGCTGCTGATTCGCTTACATTAGGTCAATTAAGAAAAATTGTCAAACAATTTCCAAATAAACAAAAGGTAACTTGTATATATAGAATGCAGATTTTACTTACGCGTTTTTATACTGTTTTTTTTCCAATCAATTAGTCATTAAACCTTTATTTTATTACCTTTCTACTATATTATAATTTATATAGTTCTTTTGAATTCTTTGGTACGATAATAACATTTTTAATAAATTATATTTATTTCTTCGTATATTATTTAGACGAAGGAATTCGGGTTCAACTATTCTGACTGTGATGTCATCTCTAATGAAATTGATGAATTCTATAGTTATGTTGAAATTCGACAATGCCTCGATAATAAAAAAGAGTTTGAAGATGGGTTTAAAGATTGTAAATTATCGGATATTTGGATATCAGTTTTTATAATTTTCATGGGAATCTTGAATTGATTTTAATTATTTAACAATTAGCTTGGATCCCTAGTACAATATCTGAGCGTCGTACATATATAGAGTATTTGTTGGAAATATTGGATTTTAAAGATCCAACTAAAAGACTTTCAGCAGCTAAACAACTATTATATATTGCACAAGGTAATTGTTATATTGTATTCATTGTCAATTAATTTATTTTTGAAAATCATAATATAATTTTTTTATTATATTTTCTAGGTGTGTTTGGTGAGACATCATCAAAAGAACACCATATTGAAATAATCATTGAAAACAACAAACTTTTGTGGAAATCTGGCGCTCTTTTATCATACTTTCAAGCATTGAAAATGACTTGTCGCGCACATGATTATTATAGGTATTTTATGTGATTTAGTATCTAAAAATATATATGTTAATTAATTAACAATCTTTTTCTTTTAGTCGTTTGGATAATGTCACCGATAGACAAGCATACATAGATGATGTAAACACTGAAATTGGGTTTTATTTAACATTAATGTACATGCTAGTTGAAGTTAATCTTTCTGATGAAAATTTTGGGAATGAATTAAGTTTGTCTATTATTGATTTAATGATAATAAGTTAATGTGATTTGTTATTATTATTATTGAAATTTATTAACAATTATAAATTGTTAAAATTAGTTGACCTTGATCCTCCAATGACAGTTTTTCTTTTTGAGACTGTTGCTTCTTTGAGAGAAAAAGACAAAAATGTTAAAGGATATCCTGTGAAAAAGGTTATTGAGAAATAATATATATACATATGTCAAGAATTAATGAATAATAATAATAATAATAATAATAACGATAATAACATATTTTGAATTTTCTTAAAGTTGTTACTTTTATTGTGGAAAGTTATCTTGGCAAGTTTAGGAGGAGTAGATGATATTAAAAAAAAAAAGGATGCTATGAGAATGCTTAATGGATTACCTCCAGTAAATAACAATAAGGGTCAGATATATATATTTACATTTATGTCTATATATCTACATATTTACACAATAATGTCCGTTTTTTCTTTTTAGAATTTTTAACAAAATCAACTCCCTTTGATTATCAAACTTTTCAAAGCGAAGCTACTCAAAAATACCCAACATATGCACCACCTCCATTTCCTGCACAAAAAGAATCCTCGAATATTTTTTTTTATACAAACAACAACAATAATATTAATTTTAGCACCAATAGTAACTCTAGCGAAATGTCGACACAAAACAACAACAATAATTCCAACGCTAATAACAGTTCATCAACAAAATCACGTAAACAACAGTTTCAAACAAATCAAAGACAACCTTTTATTTTTCCATTTTCAAAATCTGAGCCAACTATACCAAAATCAATTATGGAGGCTGGTGATCTATATTTAAAATTCATGTACACAAGTCTATCGGCGATCCAATCTCGGAAAATTAAGGAAGAAATGAAACTAAATCACCCTGATTTTAATATCAATGGATCAAATTATAATGAAATGGAAGGAATTATAAATAACGATGCTTCTTTACCCCTTCTTGATAATAATGATTCTGTTACACAAAAAGATAAAGAAAAATTGGGCAGAGTTGAATTTCTTTATGTATCCTTTATTTTAACCAATTATTGTCAATCATGAAATATATTTATATATTTTTTTTCTTGACAACTGAATTATTCATTGACTGATCAACATATAGAGGTCAATTCTTCCGTATATGAATAACATAGTTGTCGTGCTTCTGAAACTTTTATTAGCAACAATATCATCAAATACTAACAGCAGTAAAGGCACTGAAAATAACGATCCTCAAAAAGGAAATGCTACAAATAATTTTAATGGTGATGATAATTTAAATACAATGATGATATCACTGACTCTTAAATAATTATTTAATAATGACGTTAATAAAATAATTAAATAAACTAATTAGGATCTAATGTCGAGAACAATCCAAATACTCAAGCATTTACAAATGGTAATAATGTTGAAGAAGTTGATATCATAAGACACCGAGAAATTACCTCTAAAGCTGTATCAGCAATCTTATTATTGATTCTTAAACATTTAAAAGTATCTCGTATCCTTTTTAATACATTACAAATTTTGAGGAAAAATCAAACTATTACCTTCTTTCTTTGAATTTTTTTATCTTTAATGTTTATTAACATTTCGATATTTATAATATTAAAGACGTGTTAAAATTTGAATATCTTTCACAATTATTGATTGATTCAAATTGCCTGCTTCTCATATTAAAAATGTTTGGCTTACAAGATATAAGTGTATCCATCAAAGCTAAGAATGAAGTAGAAGATTTAAAGTAAAAATCACCTTAAGTTTATCAATTTTTATTGCATTGTACTATTTAATTTATTCATTAGAAAAAATTTTAATATTAACTTTTTGAAATTTTTTTTTGATTTGCAAGTTTCTTTCATTATTGTCGTAAAGTAAAAGATAATCCTATCCAAACATTAGAAAATAATTCAATAGATAACTTTAATTTCACCGGTAACAACAATTATTCTGAATGCTCATCGCCATCATCAAAGGTCCAAGGGCGATCAGAAAAAAATGGAAATTTAAATCTTGATGAGATTAATGATGTTGATGAGGTTCAATCAAACTACAACAGTGTTGAAGGTTACAATGAAATAAACATGGAAAATAACATTGAAACTATTATTGATTTGGATTTTAGTTGGAGAAATTTTTTTACAGCTATAAATTTTCTAAGGATAGCTCAAAAATTAACTAAAAAAAAGACACACAGAATTTTGTTATTAGTACAATATAAGTCCTCCGTAAGTTGGAAACAATTTTTTTTTCAAATTGTTTTTTTATAATTTTTATAATTTTTAGTTTAATTGTTTATGATATAAATTTTAGGCCATTCTGAAAAAAATTCTCAAAGTGTCACATCCAACAATGGAATTATATGCTTTAAAGGTATTAAAGAATCAAATGCCCTTTATTGGAAGGAAATGGCGTCAAAGTAACTATACATAGTTTATTATATAGAATAATAAATCTTACAAATTTCTTTCGTCCATTAGTTAATTATTAACTACTAATTATTAATTCAATTTTCTTTATAAAATTAAAATAAAAGATAACATGAAATTAATTACAGCAATTTACCTAAAATGTCGACCAGACTTGAGAGATGAATGGATCTCTTCGCCTGACGTAGATGCTGAAATTGATGATGCGTTGGCAAGCACATATTTTTAAATATTTGCATATTTATGATTTTTTTTCTTTTTTAATAAATTAAAATTAAATTCCACGATTTTTTATCATCAATACTTTGTTTAAAAAGCCACAGGAACAAAATCTTCGAGCATTGGTAAAATTTTATAACGATAAATATTATTTTATAAATTATGATGATCATCAATCAAATGGTATTCATCACAATGGTTACGATGAAGACTCTACAGAAATATTTCCACCACACTATACCAAACCTTTAGATCATGCCAATTCAGCCTATATAGATGATATTTTATTGGAAAATTCATTTATCGACAATTGGGAAAATTGGCTTCAGGAGGAAGTTTACAAATTTTCTCTTTCTAAGCCTCATCTTGTAAATATAGACGAATTCTATAATGATGAATATAGCACTATAATAGAGCAGGTTGGTGATGGATCAGAATGGGAAATACCACCAACACCGCCATGTGATGACGTCAATGATTGTTTTTCAAATATTGAATGGAAGAAATTCTCTCAGGATGATCTTGACGCTTATGAAAGTTCCTTCAAGACTACTACCAATGCTACCAATAAATATAAATCCAATTATATTAATTATATGGATGATGATGAAATTGATAATAATTTGGAAAATGTAGATTTATCTGAACAAATACAAGCGGATATCGAAATTAAATATCCTTGGCCTGATGAAGTATTGGGTCCACATGCCACAGACGAAGTAATGATTTACGAGCCTATATCATATAAAACCGATATTGAAGACGAATAAGAGAATTGTGATTTTGATTAAATGATAATTTAATATTTAAATATATATATATATATATGTGCTAATAATTGTATATAGGATCTTGTATGTTTTTTTTTTTTTTTTTTGATCTTCTCCCCTTCCCGATAATTGCTTATATCTGTTTGTTTTTCCCTAACTTAATCCAAAATAAATCATTTTATTTTATTAAGAATGGTTTTTAAATGGGAGATTAAGAATTATTTATTTATAAATATCCTTTCAATACTGCTGATTTATTTTCTAATTTATTATTATACATGTATAGTTTAATATCTTCCACAACTTCAAATCTAACAAATTGTAATTAATTATATGTGGCAGAATTGTTGATGTCTTTAATAAAAATAACGATTTTTGACAAGCGAGATTTTTTCGCACTAATTTTGAATCTCGCTTTTCACGAGAATGCAGAATATTTTGTGTAATCAATTCACTTTATAACAACAAGAAGATCAAAACGTGAAGCAAAGTTAAAAGATTTTCTTAACAGTCTAAAGTCAAAAATAAGGAAAAAATAATGGTTGAAATTTGTAATAACCTGTATGTGTCAAAATATACAAGAAGTAAACTTTTCTAAATACGAATTCTACTTTACATTGTATAGAATTAACAATCAACAGTCAACCTTTACAAGAAATAATAAAATAGAGGATGGATACACATGTTCATAGGTGTATTTCTCCAGTGATTGATCCATTTTTTCATGAAAATGGAAAAATTAAAATAGAGTGGCATATATTCTATGATTTGTATAATTATAATATTTATAAATATTTGTCTTTTTTGATTTTGGGTTATTTATTGCAGGGCCAATCTTATGACAAAATCTTCAGTTACTACCAATAGAAAATTTGATCCATGTTTGCTAGGATCTAAACCGGACTTTACAGTAATGACAACTAAGCCAGGTAAATACATTGAGTTACTCTTAGGAGAAATCAAACCTCAAAAAGTCAAAAAGTATTTAATAAGTGAAGATCTGGTAATACTTGGAAAAACCATGAAAGCTTGCTTTGGATCAATCTATTAAAGATGGAGCAGATGACAATTCATTGGTTAGCAAATTTTATATGGAAAATCTTTTTGTTCTATTAATAAAAAATTTGTCCAAATTTTATTGATAAAGGCTTCATAGCAAGAGTTTATGTACTTGACTTATGTTATGATGGTATATATTGTATGTTTTTGCTTGGAGAGTTTTGTCTACCTGATAGAACAGCAACTCGGGGAAATTTGGGGAAATCTGATGAATTGTTTCCAAGTGTAGCAACTGTACAAATAAGCATGTGTCAATATTATATATATAATAATAAATAAATACATATGATAATAATATATGGGGCATACTGGGAAAAGTGAACATTATATCATACAAAAATTACATAGAGAGATCTCTAAATAACATATTTCATCAAAGTTAATGATGTATTATTGTTTATCAATTATTATAATCAATCAAACCTAGTCATTTATAAATAATGATTTAATATTAAATCATAATAACAAAAGTAAACTAACATTATGTTTATTATTATTATTTTTATCCTATTTGAAAAACTTCAAATTCATCAAATTTGGTGCCCTTTACTATGTTGATGTTATTATAGGATCTTGGTGAGCCACCCAAACAACACTCCGTATTAAATGTAAGGTCAAACCCACCACCAAACTTGGGAAACCAAGTAAGAAAGCACCAAATTGCATGCTTGCACTGACAATTAATTACATAACTAAATTGTGCAGTGTTGATATCATTTCTATTGCCTATATTAAATATAAGGCTTTCTGTTGTGTTTTTAAACCCACTTCCATTCCAATTAAGTGGATTATAACCACCAACAATTTGCTCTGAATTTTGTATTTTGGCAACTACAAGGGTCTTGTTGATATTATCACATTTTTGGTGAAATGTAGTTTCATTTAAACCATCCCTACTACTACGATACAAAAGTTTGAATTTATATTTGATTTCCCTGAATGAAGTGTATGGTGTATTTTTTTTATCAATCCAACTTGCAAAAAGTAAAATAAAATTATGATTGATTGTTGATGATGGAATTCTTGGTGGCAATAAATTTAATGCTTGTTGTACATCACCAGGATCCAAATAATAATTTATAAGGTTTTCCCATAAAACTTCAGGAAAAAGTTTTTGATGAGGTTTAATTTTATCATAAAAATCTTCCTTAGAGATATCGTGGAATCTAATTAAAGGAATAATATCTTCTACTATGTTTTTTAACTCTTTATAATCATCATCATTCCAAACTGAAATATATTTTCCCCCCGAAATTTTAATTTGTTCAATTCCCCATTGAATAACAGAATTCCAAATATCAATTTCTTTGAATTCTAAGTGAAGATTTTCTAGTAAAGTGATAAGTACTGATTTTTCTATATCATTAAAATCATCAGATTTTAAAAATAATTCTGGATTATTGTTGATCAATTTTTCAAAATAATCCCCAAGTATATTAAATGATAGATGTCTTGATGTAGTTTGATAGAGATGGTTTAAATCCTGTTGAATCCATTTTTGTTTTTCTGTAATTAAATAGTTTTGTAAATCATCAAGTAATTCACTAAAATCTAGTTCATCACATGTTACGAGAAGTTCAACAATTTCACAAAAATCCAAATTATCTGTATTAATATTTCCATTATAAATATATCTTAATAAAAAAATAATAAATATTTAGATATTTCATTTAAAAAAATTTATATTATATTTTTAATCAATATTAAATTAATTAATCTTACGTTAAAAGAACCTCAAACACTTTTGGGGAAACGTTATCTTTCTCAAATAAAATAATACCATCATCAGATCTTTTAACCCAATTAGTTGATAAAGCTACTTTAAAATATGAAGATCTTGCTTTTAAAATAGTAGAATGAGCTTTAAAAGTTTTAACATCCAGACCTTCTCCAACTTTAATTTCTACATCATAATAGTCCGTTTCAATTAACGACTTTGTTAAATCATTTAGAAGTTTACTAGTATATTTGGATTCATTGGGCCTTCTGAATAATTTTTTTTAAAAAAAAATACCATTTATTAATAAGAAACTAGAGTGACGACGAGTGGCGATAACCACCAACACCATTCTTAAAAGACCTACCCAGCAACCACCTCCCAATTATTTTCTCGATTTCTTTTTTCTTGACGTGGCATTTTTTTTATAAAAAAAAAAAAGAAGTTCATGATTTGATCGACAAACGCGTACACATTAATTATTCATCCTATTGGTGGAGGACAGACGCGAATTGATTTTTTTTGGAAAAATAATTTATTTTTTGACAGAGTCCAAGGTGACAAAACGTGAGAGTTGTTTGTTTGGTTTGGTTTTGGTCTCCTAAAGAAAACGTATTAATAACTAATCAGAGGTACTATTTTTACTTGTATTGATATATATATTTATTGTCTTTTTTTTTTGGTTATTATAAATATTTTAATTGGAATCAAAATGCATATAAGATCCTTATCAACAACGAACGATTGGCATTTTTCTATATTAATATATAATTATAATATTATAATTACAAGATGTCAAGGCAGCACAATTGAAACAATTTGAGTATGTGACGTTTGATTATCGGGAATTGTCAGGCGTTGAGGCACGCACGCTATCTTGAACATTACAGTCATTCTCACATCTTCCTCGTGTACACAAGGCTAACCTGACCATGGCTCTCCTGAGATATGATGATGCAACTGAATTCTAGGGGGGGTGTATGGCCCTGGAGTTTACCGAGACTGCACTAATCATCAATGACACTTTTCACTAATCTTCCCTCACAACACCAGTCCAGAGATGGCCGCTGGCATGCTGGTTGAAAAGTTGCCTGCAGTGATCCTACTCTAGGCTCTGTGACCAAGCTGTCACAACTCTGGAGGAATATTAAGAGAATCTGCAGCTTGTTCAAGCACAGAAGGTCACAATTCAGAGCAGGGTTGGTGGCCCTGAAATTGCATTTGGACTCTGATGTTAAGAAGAAAGTTGTAAAATAGTGTTTGTTTTGTATAATCACTTTCCTAAATTCTCTGTTTCTCTGATACTAACTAATTTATGATTTTGGGTAAGGGACTGGGATTGGGTTTTTGCCCAATCAGTCCTCTGTTTTGTAGATTAAAATTATCACATGATTATATACATCTTTGTCAGCAATATGTCCAACAAGAAAAAAGTTATAAAATGGTTCAGGTTTTGGTACATTTTGTACAAGTTAATCATTTTCATAAATACTCTGTTTTTCTTTAATTTTTATTTGACCAACTGAATTTGTTTTTTGAATAGGAGTAGGGTTGTTGGTGAGTAGGCATGCCACTGACCAGACAGCAACCCAGGACTCAAAACTCTGAATCCAGGAAAAAACCAAAACAAAAGCCCAGGTTGCAACTTTCAAGTTGGAGAATTTTCAAGCCAGTCTTAACACCAACTTTGTACTGGAGGGGTATAACACAAAGTAATCATCACACAAATGTCAACTCTCATCAGCAAACAATGCTCCATATTGAAACAGCCAAGCCTGGTCTGAGGGGAAGATAAGGGAATGTTTTGTCCAAAGCCTTCCAACATGTGATGGACTTTACCCTCAGGAAAAAATTCTTGTGGTTATAAAGGGTATTTGCATGTTTGTGATAGGAAATTTCAATTAAATCTGACACCTGCAATCAACATCATATTTATTATTTATAAGGAACCATAATTGATAATCATGAAGAATAATTTATTATTGTGAATCCCAGAGATCTGGGTAGACACGCATTATTAAAAGTTTCATTTATGCATGGCCTTGGTATATATATATATATAACCATCGTCGATCACTTACATAAAAATAAATTACACACGTAGATTATGTGATTATGCCAAAAAATGGGATTATGCTCAAAAATTAAGAAGTGTGCAGCGATTTATGCGAAAGCATAATCCTGGACACCCTAACCAGGGGAGACACAGTACTTTAACATCACTAACAAATATATTGTAAATTACACACTTTGTGAAGCTAAAACCTCTTGTTGAATATTATATAAATCAATGGCAAAATTATTGTTGACAACTACATCAAGAACTATAATATTATAACCCTAACATTTGGAGCTTTTGCAACAATTCAGGAATCCCAGAAAATATCTGAAATCGAAATATTGACTTGATAGGCAGGAAGATCAGGAGTAGGATTCTGCAAGTGCCAAATGCCCTTTTTTTTTGATTTGGCACCAGTGCTTCTGCCTGTGCCAGTGCCTGCACCTCAACATTTTAGGCACATGCCAGTCATGCCCGTTGGATTATTTTATAAGAGTGACATTTTTAGTAAATAAATTTATACTTTCGCAAAATGGTAGTTTATGTAATTAATAGTCAAACAAATTAATCCAATAAAATATTAAAAAATCATCTACTTTTTCAACCTTTAAATCTGATGTACACATACAAAAAAGCTTTCCTGATGGATAAAGCACATGACATCATGCATCGCAAAGTTGGTTATACGAATATTGATAGTTCATTAACACAAATCACATCCAGGTGAATATCATACAAATAAAAGATTAGATGAAGGGATTGTTACATCGACAGCTTAAAAAGTTATGGAAGAAATGATGGTTCGTTAAATAATCTTTACTTTAACTCTTTTCTCTTAAATGTTAACAAAGGTGAATAAAAATTTCATTATTAATTAATTGGAAATTAATTATTACTAGTGATATTTTTTAGATTTTAGTAACAGTAGTAAAAGAAAAAGAATTGATGAGTGAATTTATTCATTGTAATTGTTTATTATATTTCTTATAATATTTCTTATATTTGCAGTTTTTAATTCTTGTTAAATGATGGTATTGTAATGTGGCCTTTTGGTTAATCCTGATTATTTGACACGTATAATTTTTGAGTTATTCTGAATATTAAAAAAACCTTATTATCATCTGTAGTAGTAATAATAATAATGATGATGATAATTAAATTGTTGTATTTATAGTAATATACCTTTGAATATTTTCAAATAATTTTAAATTTTCTTTTCTTGTTTTTTTAATTTCTTCGATCATATATTTACTTATTGGTTTTAACCTACTATTCAAATCATTTACATCTTCATTTATTCTAAATAATATGTATTTGGATTAATAATAATAATAATAAAATTGATTTTAACAATTAAATAAATGTATAAAGATTTCTTTACTTTTGAATATTTTCTAATAAGTTTAAATTTTCTTTTTTCATATTTTTTGTTTCTTCGATCATATTCTTATTCGCCATTGTCAACTTTTCTATTGCTTGATCAATTGTTAAACATTTTTCATCAACCTAATCGTTGTTATGATTAATAATTATAACAAATATTTCATTTCAATAATAATAATAATATGACATTCCCTCAAAAAATTTTGTTTTCTTTGCCTACCCCATCAAAAACATTATCATCAAGATTTAAAATCTTTTTTTTAAATTTTTGAAGATCCAATTTCTCATGCTTTTTACATTCTTCAATAATATTGTTCTTAACTGTTTCTCTAATATTATGACGATTACTTTGAATTTCTTTGAATAATTTTATAATATTTGGATTGGTTCTAAACAAAATAAAAGTTTAAATTAGAGATGCAAATTACAATTTAAAATAAATAAAATTGATTAATTGTTATCACCTATAACTTGTAGGAAAAAGATTAGTAAACTGTTTAAAGGTAATATTATCTTGAAGCTCACTATTTAAAAGAAAAGATGTTAATATAGATTCTTCCGTGGCCATTTTTATTTATAATAATAATAAATTTTACGCGTAAAAAAAATGTTGTGGATGATGATGGATCATCAAAGTTTATTACTTTTTTATAAAAAATTTAATGTTACAAGACTACGTCAATACAATCAATATATACATACAATTTTATTGCATAATTACTTATTTTATTGTTCCACTAACAACAGTTGGTACAGTGCAGAGACCTTTTTCAGTTTTAAGAAGATGAACACTTTTATCTTCACTGTTAACCCATGAAGCTTCTTTATTTGCTGTAGTTAATAAACCTGGTTGTAATGTTTCCCATATCTTTTTCTTGGGATTTAAAATAGGCTCCGGAACGCCTGATAAAAAAAGATATATCAATATTTAGTTTGACGAAATAATATTTAGCAAATTGATACATAATAAATTAACAATCTTTCTAACCTTCAAAACCGTCGAAAAATGCGCGATCTCCCGGTTTAGATCCAATTGGTGGATCAACTAATTCAACTTTTCCTTCGTGTGATGTTGCTGCAAGAACCATAGCATGTGATTTAATACCTCGCATACTGTGTAATATTTAAATTAATAAAATAATTTTTTTAAAAAAAATATTTATAATTTTAAAAACATAAGGATTATTATTATTAAATAATCACGAGACTTACGCTGCAGGCTTTAAATTGCAAAGCAAAATAACATCTCGATTCTTTTTTTTTAAAAAATCACAAAATTCAATTGTAAATAATGACAATTCATATTTTTCACTTTAAAAATCATTATAACGACGATAATAATATGTTGAATAAGAACCTGCATTTGATCTAATGGAATGTGCATAACCAAACCGCTAACCACAGTCCTTGGAGTTTCCTCGCCAACATCAATCTGTTCAACATACAATGAATCAGCAGCAGGATGCTTTTCGGCTTTAATGATGTGCCCAACACGCAAATCAAGTAAAGATGGAGTTATTACTAATGTTGATTCTTTGGTTTCCTTTGTAGCTTTTTTAGAAGTTTTATCAGCCTTTTTATCATTTTTTTTATTGCCTTTCGATGATTCTTTTTCGGGTGCCTTTTCAACTTGTTCTTTTTTTATATCTTGAGTTTGTTGCTTACTTTTATCAACCTAAAATTTTATTTTCATTGTTAGTTATTTTTATTACTTGAAAACAATGAATTGATATTATTGCCTTTTTTTCTTAAAAAAATAATTTTTTTCAACGTTTACCTTTGGGGCTTCTAAATTAAATTCTATGACGTTAAAACCTAGTTTAGGAGCTATTTTGGAAACAGCTGTATGCTGGATAAAATCAAACCAACGTATTAAATTGGAAAACTCGAATCTGCTTTCCGATGAAAATTCAGCCTTTATATTGAATAGATAAACGTGAAATTTTAATTATGATTTATGAATTCGTTAGAATATATGATGATAATGAAAAAAAAATTTTTTACCCACAATAATAGAATGAAGACGTGAAAACACCACTAAATCAGCTACAGTTAAATAATTTCCAATAATATATGTACGAAGCGTCAAATGATCATTTAAATCCTATTGATTTTCGAAATCTATATGAACAATGGCTTCCTCCTTTAATTACATAAACGTAACACTTAAAAAAAATTTTTTTCTCTATGATCAAACCTTTGCGACGTTTTTTAAATTAGGATTTATTTGTGGATCAGTTTCGTTGAGCCATTTTTGAACCTTAATAATAAGTATTATTTTATTGATTGATAAAAATTTTTTTTTAAATTTGATAAAATTGAAGAGAAATCTTACTTCAATAATATCATTGGCATTTTTATGTTTTAGTTCTCCAAAATTTTCAATTAAATAAATTATAACTGAATTAGAGCCAACAATATTTTTATTGTCAGCAAGCGTTAAAACAGGATTCTACATAAAATCAATAATTTTTAATTTTTAAGGACAAAATAACTTGTTCATGTCTTATTTATATATAAAAGATTGTTTTTACTTCATCGGCCGCGTCTTTAACTTCTAGTTGAATGGGTAAAAGATAATTGTACACTAGACTAGTAGTTTTATCCTTGTTTGATAAAGAAAGGGTAATTGACATTTTGGTGAAAAAGTGCAATTTTTAAAAAAATAAAAAACCTTTCTACTATTATTGGTGTAACTACAAAGCCACAAAAAAAATTTTTTAAATAATAATTAACATAATATTTTTTTAAATTTACAAAAGTTCTTGCACAAATGACTAACTAGGTATATATATATATGTGTGTGTGTATGCATATTTATATGTATATGTGTGTGTGTGCGTAGATATATATATATATATATATATATGAATGTATGAATTCTAACTATAACTATCAACCAATGAATTTCTAATCTCTTTGACAATGGCTGTAGGTTGTGCATCATGTAGTCGAAAGATACTTTCTACAACAGATAGTTCTGTTGAAGTGCTATCTAATCCTGTAAAAGCACACCAGTCATTTACCACAAGACCTGCTCCGATCACATCAGATCCACGATTTATTGTTCCTGCCTACACAAATAAAGATATGGATTTATTATTAATAATTAATTATCAAGGATATGTATAAACTTTGAATTACATACGACTAATGGAACTTGTAGCAAAGATGTTAATTCATTTTGATCTTGAATAGAAGTCCTTGGATGAACCTGAAAAAAATAACGATTTAAATTAATGCAAGTAACGATTTATAAATTATATCAAATATAAACATCAATAAACTTACCAGGCCGCCTTGATTACTTATTGCGCAATAACTACCTACAAGCACATTTCCCGCAATAGTTTGTGTGAATACTTCTACCCCTAAAACATCACGAATGATTTCTTGAGTTTCTTTATCAATATCAGGATGAACAAGAGCGACATAGTCATTACAAGCAATCACATTCCCCAATGCTGATAATCGTTCCTCGATTCGCTGAATTTGCACTGAATCAGGCAATGAATTACGAAGGTGTTGAAGCTCTTGATCAGTTGTAGTACTTGGGACAAGAAGTCCTTTTCGATTACCTTAAAAAACCATATCAATTTATTATCATGTATTGTTATTTGATTTGAATAAACAATTATTGTATAAAAAAACCATTAATGCTAACCAGCTGTTAACCGTCCAATAATTCTAGTGCCTGCTATTGATGTATGTATCACTGGAATCACATCACCTAGTTCACTTTCAAAAACACTAAAACAAAAGAAAATAATTGCAAAAATAAATTTAAATAAACGAATTATTAATAAATAAATTCTATTTTATTTGTAAATAAAAATAAAATCAAACCTATAAAAATTTTCAGATCCTCCAATCGCAACCAAACAATATGAATTAGTTAAACGAGAAAATACACCAATTTCGTTGCTATTTTCGAATTGTGCACCTATTAAAAATATACGTATAGCATATATATATATAGCAAGAACAAATTTTGTACATTTCAAATGATTTTTTTATTTAAGGTGAAAAAAAACTTACGGACAGCCATCTTTATAATCTTTATAAATATATTTATAATAATAAATTTTTTTAAGAATGAAAAATAAGGAAAAATTTTAAGCACATCAATTTTTGTGTTGAGCAAAAAAAAGATTTTTGAATAAAGTTGATTTAAATTTTTATTAAAATGAAAAAATTTGATTAAATAATGTTTGATAAATATCCTATCCGTTTCAATGATAAACACTTGAACTAAATGAGATGAAATGATGGTAATGATGTAAGTGAATAGAATGAAAGATGTGAAATGGATAGATGTAAGATCTTTAATTCAAAAATTATAATTATTAACAATTATTAATAATTAGTTGTTAAATATCTCATATTTCTCATTTATGACAGACAAGAAATCTAATAGGTCCATTCATCCATAACTTTAACCATTGGCTAATAGCCTAGATATTGATAATTTGTTAACAAGCATATTCAAAACAAGTAGAGTGATAACTCTAAATGGTTGTTTTTTTATCTCTATGAGTTTAATATTGATCGAGTTATTAAAAAAATAAAGAAAATCAAAACTGTAATAATGGTCAGAAATTTCAACCACAAACGAACTCAAATTCCTACAAATCGATCATTTATTTTAAACATATAAATACAATTAGCAAAGCTTGAAGGTGAGCATGGCTCGCTAGTATTAAGGAGGGAGATTTGTGTAAGATTAATTTCAATGTTTATTACAATATCATATTCTTCACAAATTCGTCTACAACAAATTCAACATCAAGTCAATTATTTTCAAATCCTTCTTTTGAGTCTTTTTCACTTTCATTTAATGAATTCTATCAATTTAATTGGACGATATTTAAATTATCATTTATTTTATTCTCAAGTATTAAAAAATATAATCCTAACATCAAAAAAAAAAAATATCAACAATTAATATGTATACATAAAATTAATTTTACAGATTATTTTAAATTTGATTTTTCAAATTCTTCAAATCCTTGAAGATTTAGGTTTACCAAATCCGCCGATCACATACCATCACCGATAGTGATTAGTGTCTTATCATATGTGGCACCTGAAGTATTAAGAAAACAAAGTTCTTATTCACTAAAATCTGATATATGTAGTTTTGGAGTATTAATGAACAGGCCAATAACTATTACGAGAATATGATATGACTCAGATCTTGCTGTGGCAATTTGTGCCTGGATTTTCAAAAAGTCTCCCAGGTTTTATATTGAATGATCTTGAGGAACAACCAACTGCTCGAGAACCTTATGATATGAAAATTGGAGGCTTTTAAATTTGATATTATAAATACTCTGTAAAATAAATTTGGTACAATTAAGATCCATCAAAAAACTTTTCATTCAAATGGCATTTATGCAAGTAGGCCATTTAATTACACAAGTTTTCCTCGACCCATTAATTCGTGATTATAATGATAATAAATATCATTGTTATTTAATTTTTTTTATTATAAATAAGATGATATTTAAAATATGTGAATGTGTATTAATGACACTAATAACCCTTTAAATATACAACTAATTGTCTAATTAAAATGTGATGATGATTAACGTTAATCACTCATCATATTATTATTATCATTATTATTCATGTTTTTTAATATTGATTTGAGCGGTTTAGTTGAAGCCTTTTTATGTTTAGGCTTCTTTTTCTGGTTATGTTGTGGAAGATCTGCCAAGTAACTAGACAATTATAATATTTAAAAGAAAATAATTAATCGGCTCTTTTTTTAATAAAATGATTGTAATAATAATAATAATAATAATAATAATCATAACAAATACCGTAACATTCGTATTCTTGTTTTTGCGGGAGACTATATATAAGTTGATGTGTTAATAAAATAAATGAATAAAATAAGCAAACATACAAACGAACAAATAGATTAAATTACCTCTCCACTAGGTATTACATGCATTGCAAATAAAGAATATTGTTGAAGAGCATTAGCAGCACTTTGACATCTTTCTTGTTGTTCACTATCAATCATTTTTGAAAGAACATTTGTAGTAGAAGTAGGAGTAGCAGTCGAGGTAAAGGCTGGAGAAGTGTGACCTCTATCATTTCTATTATTATAGTCGGTACTATTTGAACTACTTGCATCATTTTCGACGATCGAATTAGTTAATTGAGGATTACTACGAATAAGCTGTAAATTACCAAATATTGGTGAATGTTGAAATAATATTGGAGTATGATTGGTAAAGTGTGGATAAGGCAACAAAGGTTGTGGATGAGGTGGTGAATGAGGTGGTGTTGTAGTTGATATAGATGTTGTTGATTCTTCTTCCACGTTGTGTTCTGGTTCCATTTTTATTTAATAAAATAATAATAATAAAAATGCATTTTGATTTATAAAGAATTTGATTGGTTAATTTCATCCCAATTCATATTCAGGGTATTGTAAATGGGGTTAACTTAAAATTTTCAAAATTTATTATTCTTAAAGAATTGATTTTAACAAGAAATTGCATCGTCAATGGTTTTACCAAATATCGCAAGGGCTTTTGGTATATAGAATGTTCGAATCACTTAATTTTAATCGGGTAGTAATCTTGCAGCATGAACATGTGTATCTTAACCGCTCGCCATCGTCTCCAGGAACGCACCTTAACAAAATTATCGACTTCCTCCTCACAATCATCTATCCCATTCGCCTGCTCGATTCACTTATGCAAAGTAGTAAGGACATTTATAGTTAAAATCGGCTTACAAGAGATAAAAACATACAATAACGATTAGCAGAGCTTCAAAATAAAAGTTGTCAAATGTAAAGCGATAACGTTTTAGAAAAATGATCCGTTGTCCTTTTTAAACGTTCTATTTATGTCTTCCTCTGAATCTCACTCAAAGAATAAATAAAAGAAATATAATTCACAACACCAGTCATTAGGATCAGGAAAATTGATCTTGAAATTTACGTACAATAAACAGAAATTTAAAAAAGACTATGCTTGCTTAGTGTTTCATGATATTCGGATAATGTCCGAATAATTCCGAATGAATATGTGCGCTTAGTCACGATGATTGTAGAGTTCTATTTGTCAAATTTGGATAGATTATTATTTATGTACATTATTTAACTATTTCGGAATTGTTTGCAATTTATATTAAGATATTAATATCAGTATAGATGTATATACAGTATATATATATATATATATATATAATAATTTTTTATCTTTACGATAGCACGGAGAATGTGAACAGTTCGGTTCACAAACTGCCATTTCGACTAGTTGAATCGCGGTTTTATAATAATAGTTTATTAATATATACAGCGTCTAGACCAAAGAACCGAAATGCATGTTTTTGTTAACTACGCAAACACGTACGCAATAACAACTCATTAAATTTATACCGTATGTATCTTAAGTTTTGATAAGAATTTAATGTTTCAAGCTTTTTTATAACTTGAGTAATAATAAAACAACATTATTAAAATTCATATTATCCGACTTTGAAATACTTTATGACCCCAAATAACAATTTTATGTCCCTAAAAAATAAACCTAGATTCTGTTTAAAAACGGGGAAGTTAGACGAGAACTATGAAATCTTTTCGTTAAAAAAAAAAAGTGTTAGAATATTTTATTTATTTTAATAATCGAAACTACAATATTATAGCTTTAAAAGAAAAGATGAAATATATATTCAGAATGGCGTCTGGGATGTCAAAATTCTTGATGAAAGTGCTCATTTGGATTTAGTATGGAAAGCCTTGTGCAGAAAGCATAGAAATACTAGATTTGTACAGGGGTATACAAAGCCTGTCAAGCCTCCTAATTGTTTGATTGAATCCTTTTAATATTTCACCTGATGCTTTAATTTACAATCATTGTAAATATTTTAGTGAACCAAAATAAATTCACTAATTACTATGCTTCTATGCTTATCCTGAATTAAAACTAAAGATCATGCTAGTAGATGAGCAGAACAATATAAAAAATTGGAAACGGCACATATCAAGAAGAGTGTTGGCGTTAACCGTCAATACTTTTAAACCGTTCTAGAAAGGACTGTGCTGGATTATTAAATAGGAAATTAAAATGTATATAAGGTCGAGAGGAAAGTTTTAGTTTCGAGTGGAATCGAATTAGTTCGAGCTAGAGATGGTAGCGTTTTCCAATGTCGGAAAATGATTATGAATTTACGGAATGGTAAATTTTCTTCTGTGAAAGAAACATTAGAGAATGGTGCATCTGTAATAGATATTGGTCGATTTTGATTAAATCATCAAACTTCTCCTATGACAAATCTAGTAATTATGAATTAATTTCTCGGATGTGAACCTGCAACTTGGTCATCATTTGTTGGAATTGATATGGTAATTGATTTGAGTGATTCTAAAAAAGAATCACTGAAAATTTGTGCATAATATTACTTGATGGTTTACCATTTCCAGATGACGTTTTGATTTTGTTCGTCAAAAAACACATGACAATAGTAGCAATTTAAACGAATAAATATATTAATAAAATCTAAAGTTAAAAGGCTTCTCAGGAAACGATTCGTTGCAATTAACACAAAAATTTATTGGAAAAAAAAAATAAACTAAAAAAAATGATAATACAGCGTTATGAAAAACTCATTTTTCAAAAAAATTTATGGAGTTGGCGCCAAAAAACAAGCAGCGCAAACAGCCATACATCCGCCTTGCGCTATATTACAAGCGACCACCGAAGCCGGCAAAGCTACCCCAGCTGTTGCGCCTATATAATAATGTAATTATTATAATAAATAAACAGAATAAATAAATATTGATATTAATATTAATTGATTTACCTGCCGTAAAACCAGCTGCTGCATAGCAGCTCACCCACGCTGTATTGCAAGCGGTTTGACAACAACCGTATGCGAGCAAACCCGCATTTACTTTAGTAACGATCATGACAATAATAAAAATAAGAAAGATTTGATTTTTTAAAATTTTCAACATTTTTACAATATTTACAATGAGTAAGTTTATTTTTTTGATTTTGATTTTTTTTGATAACAACGATAAAAATATTTTTCTTTCTTTTATACTGTTTTTTAAAAAAGATATTTCAATTGAAACAATTACATCATGTCTTTGGGGTCGGGCGCCGGAATAAATAATTTGTTCATTTGCATTATTAATAAACAATTGATTTTTTGTGTGAAATTATTTAAACAACTTTATTACGTAAAGAAAATATAATTATAATGGTGAGGGAAAAAAATTAGGGTTCGGTTACACATTATATCATGGCAGGTTTTTTGATCGATGAGAAACCAATTCTTCTATCATAACTACCATAATACATAGTTTTTTTCTCATACTAATTTAACAAACCTTTATTACTTGAAGGGATTTGAACATAGAAATTTCAAGAACAATCTAATCAGGGCAGTTTCATCAACCAATGATCGAAGAAAGATTATGAGTTGGCGCAAGGTTAATATTTTCATTGATTATTTTTTATTTGAAATAAGAAGCCTGCGTCACGAGTGAAATGTTATGCCGCAAGTAAAATATTTGAAAGCCTGCGTCATGAGTAAAATATTTGACTGCAGATAATTTTACCATATCAAATTTTTGATTAATAATCATTATTTATTAATAAAATTAATTCATACCAATAATATATATTTATATTAAATATCATTTTTTAATAACCCAGATATATATACAGTATATAGCCGTTAGCACTTTTGCCGATCAGTTTCAATATTTACTTTTTATGATCAACAGCAAATTTCCAATTTTCAATAGAAAATTAGATTATCAGTTATTAATATACGTGAAATCTGATTTTTGATAATAACGACATTAGCGATAGTTAAAGCAGGAAGGCGAACGGCAGAGTCTAGAGAATGTGTCATGGGTGGAAATGAGTTACAAAAATTGCAGTGTGTTCAAAGTATTCCTGCTTTCTGTTCCTCGTTACACGATCAAAACTTATTTTTATTGGCTGATAAGAAGGAACAGAGAAACAACAAATTTGTTGTTTCTACAGTTGAACCCTCGTTTCGATGGATTTTTGTTTTTACCCTTGATTTTATTAATTATAATTAATTCTCGTTTCCAACGGATCTTATATTTAAATCGCGTTTCAATGAACAACGGATTTTTTGGTAGGATCACTCACTAATCGCGCTACAACGAGTTCACGTGATATACGTTTTCCCAAATAAAAAAATAAATCCACATTACTATATTAAGATCAATTCAAATTTCCAAAATCCCTTCATCTCAAAAATAAACACTTACTAAATAATAAATATCATATTCCTAGATAATAATAATCCTCAAATTTCTATAAACACACATTATTAAATAATACACAGTGAAAGGGAAAAATCTGTTAAACCGAGATATCCGCTATATCAAGAAGGTTTTTTATTAAGGTTTATTATGGAACCGTTCTTTGAACTTTATCCGTAAAGCCGAGATTTTTAATTAGTATCCGCTAAATCAAGATTTACTGTGTATTTCCAAATAATGATTTTATACAAATAATTTTCAAAATTTCTAAATGCAATAATATTAATCAAAATTTTCCATGTCTAAATAATGATTTTTACACGAATAATTCTCAATTTCTTTATATATAAATTGTAAATTGATAATGATGAGAATAATGGGAGGAAATTCTTAATTCTATTGAAGGGGAGGATGTTATTGTAAGTAGTATAACTATTCCTAATGTTTCAATAAACGAGGCTGTAAAAGTTTTTGAAATTGCTTTCAATATAAACAAACATTACTACTAGTTATTTCAAAGTTGTTCCATGTTCCTTGTTACACGGCCAAAACTAATTTTTATTGGCTGATCAGAAGGAACAAGAGAAATTTGTATTTTTTAAAAAAATAATAAAAACAAAAAAAACAAGAATATTAAAAATAGCTACGCAACAAACAATTTCAGCAACATCAAAAAAGGCGAAGTATTCATCTAGTTCAAAAAGTAGCTTCTGCTAATAATGATAATGGCAAAGTATTTACTCGAAAGATCAAAAAATAACATTGTCAACAAGTAAATGCTCATGGAATATGATATAGTCAAAGAAATGCTAACAATACGTGATTATGAATTTTATTTGTTTTATATAGTGATAGATGTGTTCAAAGTTATAATACTCGTTATTGGAAATCGTTCGTTCTCCAAGTATTGATAACTCTAGCAAAGCTCTGCAAATAACCTATTTACTTGGCCATATATTTTTATTCATGAAATAAATACAGTCAACCCTCCATAAGTGTACCTCCTCCCTGTGTCCCAGTCTCAAGCTCGGTACTTAGAGATAAGTGCACTCCCTCTATGTTCTGCACTGCACGGTCTTTTCCTGATCCCATTTATATAAAACTATCCTCTCTAAGTACACACTGTGACTTTCACGTGATTACTCTGCAATATAAAATTTAGTAATTCCATGTTACATGTACACTAATAATTAAAGCATTGTAAAATAATAATTCAAGTAACAAGTAAATAAAGAATTCTTTCTTTTATTACAACAAATGATTAATTCTTTCTTTTTAATAGATATAGAGAATTATTAGAATGACAGAATAAGAATCCAGGAGACAAAGCTCTTATATTTTTTATAGTTGGGATTATTATACAGTGTGTAACAAAAAAAATTGACCTCTGTTTATTTATAATAATTCAATAAATATCTATTTAAATTGAGAATACAATAGCTTGTTTAAAAGCCTAAAAACCAAGAAATTTATTGATATATATATTAATAATCAATTCATTTGCCATTACTATCAATTATCATCTGGCAACAATTATTCATTGATGAAACAAGGTTAGACAACATAGAACTTGGAATTTTTTCCCATTCCTCAACCAAATACTGCTGCAACTCGCTAATATTTGCTGGCATATGCTTTTCTACATTACACTTGACAATGCTTCATAGGTTTTCTATGGGATTAAGGTCTGGGCTGTTAGCTGGTCAATTGATGACTTCAGGGAAGTACTCATCAAGGAAATTTCTGGAAACCTGACTAGTGTGCTTCGGGTCATTGTCTTGTTGGAATCTCCACCACCTACCAAGCATCCTTCTGATTTCTGGAAGGTGCTGGCACAAAATTTCAACATAAAACTCTCCATTCATGATCTCAGTGAAGCAAAACAAGCCAGCCTTCCCTTTAACACAAAACCCACCCCAGGCAAATACTTTTTGTCAGTCTTTAGAAAGTGGCCAAATAGGCTTTAGACCCCTATACCATCGTTTTATTGTGTTCCTAAACAGATGGAAGGCTGTTTTGTCAGAAAACAAGGTCCTTTCCCAACTATCATTTAGGTGATTCCTAGCCCATTCAACTTGCCTTGCCTTGTGATTAACCATGAGCATTGGGGTACCAGTTGGAAGTGCATTTTTGTAGCCAAGCTCTTTCAATCTTCTTGCTACAGCCATATGCAATACAGAATTTTCATTATTGGATAATTTTATTGCCAGGGTTTGCAAAGATGTGGAACTGTCATTGCAAATGTATTGCTCAAGCTCATGCGTCATTGCTGATCCTATCTTTTTTAGATGGCCATTACCTCCCTTATGTGAAACATCCCGGTTTCTTTTATTTTTTTAACATTATATTTGACTGTTGATAGGGGAATGTTAGTTTTTGTGTGAAGTTCCTTTGGAGAATGTATTCCTTGGTTCCAATAATAAAGAAGCGTTGAATCTTGCAAATCAAGCTTGTTTGATGACATTTTCTTATGTTGACAAAACTAAGATTGATGGTCCAAAAAGTTTATATTTACAACACAGGGGTTTAGTATGATTGTTTGATTTAATTGGATGGGATTTAATTGCTTATTTGTGAAACTGTATGCTTTTGAATTTTGCATCATCGGGGGTCAATTTTTTTTCATTACACAATGTATATAAAGGTAAAGGAGGGATCATAACAGATAAAATTAAGAATTTTAATAACTAAAATCTAATTACACTTATTACTTTAAAAAATAAAAATACCCAGTTATTATATATTAATCTTCTAATTCATTATTATCAATAAATTAAATTAACATTATTGAATCGTAATTCATATTCTTTTATAACTTCCAAATAAAATAAATGTCTTCAAGTAAAATAACTTTATCTGATACCCAAAAATATGAATTTTCTTATTTGCTGCAAATAATAAATTGACCAGAAAAGAATATGTTGCATGGATTGAACAAAAATAGGGGTTACAGTACATGAATCAACAATAACTAGAACTATACAAAAATACTTAGCACCAGAATTACCAATCCAGAAGCAAAAAAGACATAAATCTGTGGTTGTCCCTGAACTTGAGTTGGCTTTTAAGGAATTTGTTTTAGTTTACCAACCCAAAGCAATCTTAATTGATGCTATTTTAGTTGAAAAGGCCAAGCAAATCGCAACTGGGTTAGGAGTTTTTGAAGGAACATTTAATTTTTGTATTGTAATAATTTTATAAATAAAATTTTTTTTAATTTTTCATTAGTGTCACGTGTAACCAATAAAATACTTTTGTTCTATAAGTTCACCCCTCCATAAGTGCACGGCCTCGCCTGGTCCCAAGAGGGGTACACTTATGGAGGGTTGACTGTAGTTAGGTTTTTTATAGACAATAGATAGACAATACAAGGTTGTTTCTTTAATAGACCTAGATTAATGCATCAGGTAATTTACAATAAGTATATAGGTTTATTAAATCAAATGATATTAGTAGCATTAATTAACAAGAATAGATCGTCCATGATGATGGGCAGTTTAAAACTTGAAGCTTTTTAAAGAAATTCTCAATAAAAAAGACCAAATTTAGCACAATGCCTGCATCAGTGAAAAACTTAAAGAACAAAAGGCTTTACTATAATTTTATATTTTTTATGCATCAAGAATAGAGTTGTTGTTATTCACTTTTAATGAATAGTCACAAAAAAAATTAAGAATGAACAATAAACACACATGGAATAGAGGTTATGAATCATCAAAAGGAAATAGTTGTCGTTGTTATTATAATAATTAGCAATCACATAAATGGCAGTGGAAGCAGTATTAGATTAACATTGTGTGCCCAGATACATTACTCACAACAGTAAGGATTATGCAATCTATTTAATAGTGGGTCACTAGTATTAGTTGTGTGCTGATGTTATACACAGTATGATTATTGAATTGACACAACACATAATGGAATAATATCATTCCTGATCTGAATCCTTGACGAAAAATCAGCACTGGTTTGATTACAAACAAGAATTTTCATATTGTCTTTGTTAATCTCATTGTGTTAATATGGATTAAAGTTTTGTTACATGTAAACTGCACTCACAAAAGATATCTGCCATCAAGAGGAGAGAATAGATAATACAAAAGATTGCAATCAATCGGTTAATTATGTGTAACTGTAGCAATAACTTTTTAATAAATCCATGTTTTGCAAAAAGTAATTCTATTACTGAAATGGAGTTAACTTCTTAATTTTTAAAAGAACATGGCATTCTACAAAAATGATCTTGACAAGATAACTGTAAATGCACAGTGAATGCATTTAGGTCCTATAATTGAGACACATGTGATTCTTTTCTTTATATACATTGTACTATAGGAACTAAAACTATATATTTTATGATTAGAATTTGTGAAAATTTCAAACCTAAAAAGTATAAATACTTTATAACATTGTTGTCATCTTCAACTTCGCAACAAAGGCAACAAGATGATGATAAAGTTGATAATGACATTGATAAAGGTGACAAAGTAATTAAATATTAATTAATTAGTAATAAAGACGATAATAAAATTTAATCATGTTATGTTGTTATTGAATTTTTGTAAGTTTGTGATGCCTAAAAGAGAAGCACAAACTTTAAATTTGGATCTGATTTTATTTAATAAATCCAAAAATTCGATATTTTGTTGATTTTCAATTGGAAAAGTCGAGATCAATTCACGAAGTGATTCCAGTTCTTTAATTATTCTAAAAAATGTATATACATGTACACATATATATATTATATTCATTATTGTTTAACAGACCTTATTTAGATAAACATTACCGTTTATTATTAACATTTGGCAAAAGATTAGAAGAATCATCTAAACCAACAATGAATTTCAACCAAATTTCAGTCACGCCATTATAGAATCCAATTTCTTGTGAAATTTCAAATCCTTTTTCACATCCAAGAACATAGCCTTCTAATTTTCCTGAATTAAATCCTGCTTTTATACCATCCTCTTTACCTATTTCTATAAACCTGACATATTTGTAATATTTATATCATATTATGTTAAAATTATAAATTAATTGTCTAATTATATAATTATCTAATTAACCAACATACATTGTTTCAAGATTAACCAAATCATCAAAATCTAATTCCATATTAAATTTTTTATATATATTTTTATTATTATGGGCTACTCTTTATTATTTTTATTTTGTACTACATATTTATATAAAGCGTAAAGGGTTAAAAACCTAATTTAGTAATAATCATCTTGACTAAACTTGAAACTTAACATATTAATATGACTAAATAGTTTAGCCAAATGCTCATTTGAGTTACGCAGCCAAACAGGTATATTGCATGCAGATCTTACATTTGCCGTCACTGACCCAACCGAATATTTGCCAATTGCTTCTTTGAAATCATTGAGGTAACAGTATATATATAGAACAGGTTTTTCAAATGAGCAATCCTACCATAAAAATTCTAATAAATGATTGTAGAGAGCCCTTGAAGCTCTCCGAAACTCTTACTGTAAGTGCACGGTGCTGAAATTATTGCATGAGCAATATCAAACGTCCTGTATTAATAATATGCGATATGAACAAATTGATAGGGATATTTCCATGTATCATACATTTGGATTTGGATTATGGTAACATTTATTTCAATTTGTGAAAGAATTGATAAAACTTTCATGGATGTCATCTGAGAATTTGATAGATTTGAAGTTGCACATGAGAAAACATAAATAAAAGTGTCAGGATGAAAATTGATTTTGTTAAAAATAAAAAACGACAAGATAAAAAAGTTGGCAGAAATGAATATAATGAAAAATATGCAAATTAATGTTAATATAAATAAATATAAAATTAATGTTTTTTATTCATCAATAATGCAGCCTTCAGTAGCTGATTTAACATTTTTTATGTATTTGTATAAAGTTCCTTTAGTAAAGTTGTAAGGAGGGGCTTTCCATATTCTACGTCTTTCTTCAAGCTCATTATCACTAACATCAACATCAATAGATTTATTCTCTGCATTTACAACAATTTCATCATCATCTTTCACTAATGCTATTGGGCCACCCAATTGTGCTTCAGGTGTAATATGCCCTATTATAAATCCTTATATTCATAAATTTTAAATATTAAATATGGATAAATAGATAGATATTGTATTTTTTCCTAATTGTACTTACATGGCAGCCGCCTGAAAATCTTCCATCTGTTAATAATGCAACATTGTTACCAAGTCCTGCACCCATAATAGCACTAGTTGGAGTCACTACAGAACAAATTTAATTTTTGCAATAATAATAAAATTAATACATATAACGCACATATATATATAAAAAGTGAATTCATATAACTCGATTCCGCTTACACATTTCAGGCATTCCAGGACCTCCTTTAGGGCCTTCATACCTTATAATTATGACATGACCTTTCTTAATTTCATTTTTTTCCAATACTTTTAACATATCTTCTTCACCATCAAAAACTTTTGCTTTGCCTTTAAATGCCAAACCTTCTTTACCAGTAATCTTTGCCACAGAACCTTCAGGGGCCAAATTACCTTTAAGAATATGTATATGACCCGTTGATTTGATTGGTTTAGCCAGCAGATTTATTATATTTTGATTGTCAAATGAAAGTGGTGTAATTGATGATAGGTTTTCTGCTAAATTTTTTCCAACAAATATCTTGGTTTTAGATTTGCCAAAAACGGGTATCATCACTGATTTTTTGAAAATTGTCCAATGTCAATTCAATGCCAACAGTTTTAGCAATGTAGAACAGTATTTGTAGACTCTCAAGTATCATTGTTAACACAATAGTATTTTCAAAGGATTTTTTGTCATGATATCATATGGTTTTATGTCTTTTTCTAACAAGTTGTGAATTGCTTCTCCCTGCTGACAAACATTCTTCCTTTTTTCAGGATATTCTGCAGGTATTGATTATGAATAAAATAGTCATTCCCATCGCTTCTATTGTTGATGCCACTATTAATCACATGTATTATTAACGCGTAAATATTTTATTATATATGTGTATATAATTCCGATCTTGAGTCAGTAGCACCCTATATGCAATTAGTCACAAGGG